AGCGTTCTGTAGTTTTCATTGCAGATGTCTTTCACCGCTTTCGTTAGGTTGACTCCCAAGTATTTTATTTTTTGAGGCTATTGTAAATGGGGTAGTTTTCCTCATTTATCTTTCAGATGATTTGTCACTGATATACAGAAAAACCTTTGATATATGGGTGTTGATTTTGTATCCTGCTACTTTGATGAATTCATTTTCTAGTTCTAGAAGTTTTCTGGTAGAATTTTTTGGGTCTTCTAGGTATAGAATCATATTGTTAGCAAATAGTGTTAATTTGAGTTCTTCTTTTCTTATCCATATTCCTTTCATTTCTTTCCTTTAATTGCTCTGGGAAGTGTTTCAAGAACTAAGTTAAATAGAAGTGGTGAAAGAGGGCATCCTTCCCTTGTTCCAGTTTTTAGAGGGAATGCTTTCAATTTTTCTCCATTTAGAATGATATTAGCCTGGGGCTTAGCATAGATAGCTTTTACAATGTTGAGATATGTTCCTGTTGTCCCTAGTTTTTCTAGTGTTTTGAACATGAAGTCGTGCTCTATTTCATTGAATGCTTTTTCTGCACCTATTGAGATGATCATATAGTTCTCATCTTTAAGTTTATTGATGTGATGAATTACATTTATTGATTTCTATATGTCGAACTAAACTTGCATCCCTGGGATGAACCCCACTTATGGAAAGATCTCCCTTGTTCTTGGATAGGCAGAATTAATATTGTCAAAATAACCATACTACCAAAAGCACTATACAGATTTAATGCAATTCCAATCAAAATCTCAATGACATTTCTCATAGAAATAGAAAAAGCAGTCATGAAATTCATTTGGAAAAATAAGAGACCTAGAATAGCTACAGCAATCCTTAGCAAGAAGAGTGAAACAGGTGGCATTACAATGCCAGATCTTAAACTATACTCCAGAGCAATAGTAACAAAAACAGCATGGCATTGGCACCAAAATAGATTGGTAGACCAATGATACAGAATAGAGTACATAGAAACTAACCCACATAATTACAGTTATATTAGACAAAGGTGCCAAAAACATACATTGGAGAAAAGACAGCCTCTTCAACAAATGGTGCTGAGAAAACTGGAAATCCATATGCAACAAAATGAAATTAAACCCCTATCTCTCACCACGCACAAAACTCAACTCAAAGTGGATCAAGAACCTAGGAATTAAACCAGAGACACTGCACCTATTAGAAGAAAAAATAGGCCCAAATCTGCATCCTGTTGGATTAGGCCCCTATTTCCTTAATAAGACGCCTATAACACAAGAATTAAAATCAAGGATCAGTAAATGGATGGATTCAAACTAAAAACTTCTCAGCAAAAGAAACAATCAGCGAGGTGAATAGAGAGCCTACATCTTGGGAGTAAATTTTTACCATTCGCACATCAGATAGAGCACTAATCTCTAGGGCATATAAAGAACTTAAAAAGCTAAATACCAAAAAAACAAATAGCCCAATGAGTTAATGGGCTAAGAAACTGAACAGACACTTCTCAGAAGATGAAATACAATCAATCAACAAGTATATAAAAAATGTTCAACATCTCTAGCAATTAGAAATGCAAATCAAAACTACTCTAAGATTTCATCTCTTCCAGTCAGAATGGCAGCTATTATGAAGACAAACAACAATAAGTGTTGGCAACTATGTGGGGGAAAAGGCATACTCATACATTGCTGGTGGGACTGCAAATTGGTGCATCCGTTATGGAAAACAGTATAGTGGATTCCTTGGAAAGCTGGGAATGGAACCACTATTTGACCCAGCTTCCCACTCCTTGGTCTATATCCAAAGGACTTAAAAACAGTATACTACAGGTACATAGCCACATCAATGTCTGTAGCAGCACAATTCACAATAGCTAAATTGTGGAACCAACCTAGATGCCCTTCAGTAGATGAATGGCTAAAGAAAATGTGGTATATATACACAATGGAATATTACTCAGCAATAAAAAAGAATAAAATCATGGCATTTGCAGGTAAATGGATGGAGTCAGAGAATATAATGCTAAGTAAAGTTAGCCAATCCCCCAAAACCAAGTGCTGAATGTTTTCTCTGATATAAGGAGGCTGATTCATAGTGGGGTTGGGAGGGTGAGCTGGGAGGATTAGATGAACTCTAGATAGGGCAAAGGGGTGGAAGGGGAAGGTAGGGGGAATGGGGGTAAAAAAGATGGTGGAATGAGATGGATATCATTATTCTAAGTACATGTATGAAAACATGAATTGTGTGAATATACTTTATATATAACCAGAGGTATGAAAAATTGTGCTCTATATGTGTAATGTGAATTGTAATGCATTCTGCTGTCATATATAACAAATTAGAATAAAAAATGTTTAACAAAAAATAGAAAATAATTGACTATTGTTAAGACTATCTTTGTGTGCCTGCCAAACCCTGCCTTCTTTGGGGGAATTACTCCTTATTCTGTTTCATTCATATGAATTCAACAGAGATTGTTAATCATGATATACTTGACTCTTCATTTAATCCAAGCCAATAGGAATACATTAGGCTTTTGGAATTTTTGTGCTTGAGGCAGATGCTTCAGTGCTACCTTCTCTAACGGCCAAAGCTAAGATGTCCATCAGGAAGTCATAGCCAGCAAGGATTCTCTTGTGAAAGACCATCTGGAGAAGAAATTAAACAATAAGCTCTCAGGCATTTCTAAGAGGTCAATTATACTGCTGACCCCCTGTTCTTGTAGAACGTAATCAGATTTGAGTTTCTAGCTATAGGGGCAGCTGTGTAATTCCTTACCCCGTGCAACTTGAAAGACAGCCCAATCATATAATGAGGAAGTAGCATTTTTTATTATGAAGGATAGTGTTTGAAAAAATATGGCATCTATGGAATTTATTGCAGATGCTGTGTGATTTAATTTTCTGTTCCACTCCCCATGCCTAGATTATTCTTCTAATTGTCTTCTCTCAATCACCACAATCTTCCAAAGCCATCTCTAATTTTATTTCTTCTGTTAAGTCTAATCTATAAATTCTAGTCAATTATTTTTCCAAACTTTGACTTTTCAATCACCCAAGTAACACTTAATTATTGCAGTGAAAATTACAAAACAGAAAATGACAGAAATTAAAAATTACCCATTTTTACACTGCACAGAATTAATCATGGTTGTGGTTATATATTTTAATCCATTCAATCCCTTATGTGTAAACACATTTTAAAAAAACAAACAAAATGACCAATTTTTTATTTTTTCTCTCCTAACCACAACTACATTTTTTATTCAGCTGTATTTGTAGTTTCCTTATTATTTCAATATTCTGCACTGCAAATAACAATACCTTTGAAAGGTATTGAAAAAGCACCTTATTTTACAGGGAAAATAGGAGCAATTCCACATTTTTTGGCCTCAGATGTTCTTTATTTCCTCATTTACCTAGTTATCTCCTGATCATTCTTCTGATGTTAATTCATGTGAGATTTCTTTAGAACGTCAGATAAAATCTATCATGGTATATTCTTTGGCATACTTGTAAAAGTTGCAATTTATTTTTATGTTTAGGATTATCTGAGTCTATTTGCTCATTATTGGATCCTCAGTGCTTATAAGTGTCTGAAACTTGGCAATTTTTAAGTGAAGGATGCTTGGAGTCATTCAGCTGCTAAGAAAATATTTATAAATGTAGCAATGTTTAGGAAGTCTTATTGTGTGCTAGGCACTCTGCTAAGTGCTATATATTTCTATAATTGCATTTTTACTATCTCAAAATGCATCAATGTTCTCACTCTGCAAATGAGGAAATTGAGATTTCAGAAATCAATTAACTTGCTCAGACACAAGTAAGAGACAGATAAACGTTTTCAACTCAGGTCAGTGCTTTTATTTATATTTTTAGCTTTGTTCGCCACTACTGGCATCTTTATTCATGAGTATGAAGTCACCATATACAGCTTACTTTCAAAATCACTGTTTTTACATTACAAATTGGTTTTTGTTATATGCCAAAGTAGTAAGTAGGGGAGCAAAGAAACGACAGACTTTGTACTGGGAGAAGCAGGAGAGCTGGATCCCAATTAGTCTCCCTTCCTTCTTCACTAACTAGCTTGTGTAGGTTTGGGCTAGTAACTTGGCCTCCCACAAAGGTTACAAAGTAGGAAGTAAGAAGACATCTAGTCCAACTGCTTTTAATAGATGAGATTAAGAGGCTTGTACAATACACAACGTGGCAGAGGTTCAGCCAACTGCTGACTCCTATTGTTTGTTTTGAGTCATACTACCCCTCCTTGAACAAATGTTTGAGTGCCTACTGTATTAGGGACTGGGCATAAGTATTTTTCCCATTCGATATTGATTATTGGCTGTCTTTCCTAATACTTTTCACTAAGCAACTTTAAAAACGGCCCTTAGATTCAGAGTTATATGGGGGAAAAATTTCCTGTAAGCCTGGCGTTAGGCACAGGGTGGCATGACCCAAGTCAGCAGCTGGTCGTGCTAGTGGCGATCTAGGAAGGGAGTGACACCTTCTGACTCTGGGATCATCCGGGTGTACCAGAGGGTCAGCGTGGTTAGGCTGTCTTCGGGAGACGACGCCTTTGGTTTTCCAGTGACCCACACTGCTAATGTTACACGAGGAAACTCCACTGTGCGTGCGATCAGATGCCCAAGGCACGCGGCCAGGTCTCCCCGTATCCTCGCTACCCCGGGTTTATCTTCCCTATTGAGCTGCCCGGAAAGCGACGTTTCTATATGAGCAACAGCTGATCTCGAGAGGAACACTTCCTCAACGCTACTGGCCTAGAATCCACCCCGACGGACTTTCGCCACTCTCTGCCAGCCCGCAGCCCCAAGGCCGGCAGGGTCAAGCAACTCCGGGATGCCAGGGAAAGGCCACAGTTGGGTGCTGCCACGCTAGGCCTTCTGGGCAGGCACCAGCCAATGGCCGTAAGGCATACATGAGCCCCAGCCAATCAACACCCATCTTGTTCCCGGGTCCCGCCCGCTCCGGCCCTTCTCCCAGCCCTCCTCCCGGTGCCCGTAGTCGCGGCTGTAGCTGCGGCCGCCTCCAGAGCCGACCGGGGTCTGGGGACCGGCACCTCCTGGCGCCGTTCAGTTTCTCCTACTGCCTTCACTGAGGATGAGTTCCTGTGTTGCTGTGCGTCCACCCCGCGGAGACCACCGGCGCAGTTTCATCTAGCGACTGGTGAGGGAGGGCTCCGCGCGGCCCGACGCTGTTCAGCGGGCTGAGGTGACGGCGTCCCGCCAGTCACCCGGCCGTGGGAGAGCTCTCGCCTTTCAGAGGGTGCGGGTGACCGCGGACGCTGGTGGCGCGAGTCGACCACGGGGAGGGGACTCCGCGCCCCAGAGGCCGCTGAGGTTCTTGTGAGCTAGCGCGGGCCGACTCAGTGGCCCTCTGCCGTCGCCTCTCCACCGCCCCCCTCAGCTAATGAATGGCCTGTTCAGGCCACTTGCTACGTTGCATTTCTGCCTGACACGCCCTCCAACATTGTTGCATTCCCAGTGTCACTTCTCTTTAAACCCGGGATTGGAAACCATTCCTGGTGGCGCCCTTGGCCCCTTTACCCCCTTCGTGGAGTTCCAAAGTTTGAGTCCACTCTGGGGACTGTCGGAGAGCAGGTCGTGAAGTTAGGTGGGAATTGACAACTATGTTAAAAAAGGAACAGTGGCTTGTTTGAGAAGTGCGGAAGACAGTGCTCTTATTAGCTTTCAGGTTCCAGAAGCGTTGTTGTTCTGATACAAAATAGAGAACGCCCGTCACAGGCCATCCTTGTCGCTTGTTTTCCAACATAGTTCTAGAACTTAAGTTATGTTATCCCGACGCTATGTTTTTCAGGAAGCCGAGGTTGAGTAGCACCTTCTTTCGTATGCTTCGAAGTGGGGCATTTGAAATTGAAAATTCATCAGAAGTAATGAAAGGATGTTACTTTTATGAGTGGGTAGTGTTTCTCTGCTTATATTGTGCAAGCATTGGCTTTTTTTTTTTATCATTTCCCTTTTTTACTATTTTGGATTCCTTGATTTTTGTTTTAGAATCTGGAGTAAGGTAGGTGAGGACAGAAAGAATGTTTTCTAAAAATAAAAAAAAAATCACAAAACAGACATTCGAAAAACTTTAGTCACCCTATAGTTCAAAAAAAGATGAAAAATGGCTGTGTTCTATTAAAAAATTGACAAATATTAGAGACTTTCAGTATGCTAAGTTCTGTGTAAGGCACTTACTACATTTTTAACTTAAAATGCTTCTGGACTATAAATTCAGCACTCTACATGTGAATGTATCTTTAAACTAAAGAGACTCAGTTTACTTGATTAACTATTATAAATGATACAAAACTAATTTGCCATCATCAAGAGGGGAATAATTCTTTGCCACATTTAGAGATGTGCTTGCCCCCTAATATTTGGGTGATTTCTGTATTGCAAAACTAGATAATGCACTGATGAAGTATTGAACTGACGTTTCTAGATCTTGTACCCAGAGAATATTTGAGAAAACTGTAGAATAAAATAAAATATTAAAAATCTAAATTACTAATTTGCTAAATTGTGTCTGTATTTTAAAAGCTAATTTTAGGGTCAACAGAAAATGTTTTAAATTCTTTGATTATGAGTCAGTAATCTGCAGCTTATAACATTTATTTGTATGTATACAAATTTATTGGGAGAATATTTTGGTTTTAAAGAGCACTTTAAACCAGTAAGCCTGCTTATTGAACGTATTTTGTGAGAAATAAGTATAGCATTTCTCCCCTCCTTTCCCTTAAGATAAGCTTAAAATCTTTATGTACATATGGATTTGTCATTAAACAGATATGCATTTGAATTCCAACTCCCTTGTTAGTATGATTTTAGTTACTTATTCAACATCTCTGATACATAATTTCTACACTTAGCAGACAGTTTATTATTATCATTTCACAAATGAAGAAATTGAGGGTTAGGGAGCTTAACATACTTGCCCAGGGTTTCGCATGTAGCAACCCAATACATACATAACCCAAAATTGGGATAGTTTTTTCGTACTGCACTATACTACTTTTTATTGAAGAATTCTCTTTCACTGCATTTTGATAGAGCAGCTTGATAGGGTGAAATAGGCAGTATGTAGAGTGTTCGTTTTCTTTCGGTGTGATTTTTGGATAGGCTACTTATTTCCTCCTTGTAAAATGAAGGTAGTCATATTTATAGGGGCAATGATGAGGCTGAAATGAGGATCATTTAATATAAATAAAGCTGTGAATGTGTTCATATGAAAGCTCGAAGTATTATGTTTGTAAGCCATGAGGAAGTGTTAACCTTATAAAGATTTGGGTGAAAAACATTCCAATCAAAAAGAACTTTCATATAGTTACGGCATTTTGTCATCTTGCTTACCAGATGCGTGATTTGTCACATTTAATTTTTAAAACCAAGTTAGAAGTTAAATAGTTGTTTTCTCCTTACAAATGAACTGAAGTTTCAAGAAATTAAGTTATGTGCCCATGGTTTCTTATCTAGTTAGTGTTGAACCTAGTTGCTAGCTTAGGTATTCTGAATTTGATATGCTGTATGATCCCCAGATCTAACTGAAATTTCTTGAGGTCCTGAGGCTATTTTTAACACATGAGATATGAGTATTGGTTCATTTCAATAGCATGATCTGACTAATGTTTTAGGAAGTTAACTGAGCTGTTAAACAAGGATAAGAAACTTTGTGAGCCATTGTTCAGGGCTCACTTTCAACTGGCTAAAACCTTTGTGGTAGACCAGTATTCAAGGTTCAACAATTGCCTCCTAACTCAATTTTCCTTCAACACTTGATCATGTGATAATAAATTTTCACCTTTAATGTTATTTGTTCTTTGCTTAGGTTTGTTTTATTTTTCTGATTTCCAAAGTATTTGCCTGTAACTCCTCCTCTTAGTTGGCCTATCATCCAAGCCAGAAACCTGGGTGTTATCACCACACCTTGTCAACTCAAGATTCTATTTATATCTTTGAATTGCCTGCTTTCTTTATCCCCATGGAAAAACACATGAAGCTGTTCAAAATCTGACCCATCCTTGTATATATTAGGACTCAGTCTTTTCTGACTTTTGAATTATTTGGAATTTTTAGAATGGACTAAGATGATTCTAGTCTTTTATGTGTACCATTCTGCTTTGAGAAATAATCCCTCCTAAAGTTTATCAGGCAAACACATACTCATCTTTTAAGACTTATTTATATACCTATAGGAAATCTTTCCTGTATTCCTCTTCTCCACTCTTCATTCATATGTCACTTATTTTATTTGACCACAGGTTTATAATATATGTTTTTTACTTGTTTAAATAGAAAGAGCCTCCTCTATCAAACTATGACCCATTGATGGTAGGAATTGTGTAATAGATAATGAATTTTGTTCACTCAATAGTAAAATAGCTGTATACTCATCTAAATATTATCCCTGAAACGTTTTTTTATATAAAATATTTATGCCTTGTTTATTTTTGTATTTCTAATGTTACCTGTGGATACACTGGAGAAAGTAGTGGATTGTAACAGAAATAGCATGGATTTGTCATTAAACAGATATGCATTGAATTCCAACTCCCTAATTATTGATAGTATGATTTGGGTTACTTATTCAACATCTCTATACATAATTTCTAGCATGTATTAGGTATTTAATAAGTATTTTTCTCTTCCTTACTCTTCAAAAAGCATTTTTTAATAACACATAGATAAGATTTACAACAGGTATTAGGAATATGGGCCTGGAATTCTGGAGAAATGTGTGAGCAGGAGAAATTCAGGGATTAGAAGCATGCTGGGTAGAATTAAAAAGAGAACTAAGGATTAAACATTGAGAGAAGCTGAGGTTTTGAAGGTCAGGGTAGAGGACAGTATCCTAGGAAGAAGTGGGTGGGAGAGATTCCATGCTTATTTGTTTGGCTCACTTCCTCCCCTTTTAGGATCCCTTTCTAGACTCCTGAAGAGAATTACCAATGAGATTCTGCAACCTGTACACTCAGAAAAATAAGAAATTATACCCCATTTGATTCAAATGTATGAGATGTCAAGATCATTGTACTGTCATGTGTAACTAATAAAAATAAATAAATAAAATTTAAAAAAGACTTAAAAGCAGAGAAAGCAAATAAGATGAAAACTGAAACTATCTAAAAGTATTTGACTATTTGGAGGCTATTAGTAACTTTTTATGAAGTATGATTTCATTGGGGAATTTTGCAGGTAGCAGTGATATTGAAACTCATACATGAATTTTTACCTTTTTGTTACTGAAGTATTTATAATAGTGAAAGTCACCATTTGTTGAAGACATGTTTAGTGCCAGGCATTATGATAGGCAGTTTACTTATTTTTCAGATGAAGAATAAAGAATTGGGAGAGATTATGTAATTTTTAGTGTTACATAACTAGTAACAGCCCACTTTCTTATATTTAAATTCAAATATGTAAGACTCTAGGACACCCTAACCTCTGATTATTTTTGTTTTTATATTCATAGTATTGTCTATATACTTCTCTCTACATAAGGATATATAGATATGACAGCGTGGTATGATTATTTTAATATTCCTTTTTTCCCTTTTTAAATGTTGAAAGTATATAAAGTAACAAATGAGAGAACTCTCTTCTGTTCTATCCTAATTCTTTCCTTTGGGGTTTGAGGGATTCACCAATCATATATCCTTTCAGGTATTATGTGTACACTGAAAGTATAAAGATGGTGGGGTTTTAGAGCCTCAAAAGAGTGAAATTAACTACATATGACTTTTGCCATATGTCATTCTTTTCTGTTTTAACATTCTAAACTACTTGAGGCTTTGGTTCCTTTTTCTTTGTGTCATTTTTGGTCCAATCAACATTTAAGGGGGGATAATTTTTATAAGGACTATATTGAGTTTAAAAACATAGAAAAAGACCTGGAATTAGAGTTCAGTACTTTCATTTCCAGATGAGGAATCAGAATAGTTAAGAACAGAACACTAGTTAAATCTCAGACTTCTGACTCTTCATGTGATTTGAAGTGAGAGTGGAAAACATAGATTTGGAATGTTTCATATTTGTATCTGATGCATAGAAATTTCCCCTTTACATATATAAATTCATGTGTGTATCTCTGAGTAGTCTTATATCTCTTTTTTCCTGCTCCCAAAGACTATATATTAAGGATTTTCTCCTAGTTGTCTTTGAACTTTTTTATGTAGTTTTTAAACTATTGAATTTATTCATTTTTGTTTTATGACTTTGGACTTCATATCATACTTAGGCCTTTGTACTTTGCAGTTATAAAAAAACAGTCTCATGTTTTCATGCTTTTATGATTTTATGATTTCATTTTTTTTCTCTTTATGGCATCTAGAATTTATATTGGCATAAGGTAAAAAGTGTCTTAAATATTTTTTCCCCAGATAGCTATCTCATTGTCCTAATACTCTTATTTATCTTCTGTAGTGTAGGACCTTTCAGGAAGAGAAAATAATGTTATCAATGTGCATAATGCCTGCCACTTAGTAAAAACTGAATAACTGATAGTATTGGTTGTTGTTGTGATGTGGTGATGATGATAATGATGCAGCTTTTGGAGGTAAAGGTTTTGGAGGAGATTACCATAAAGATGGTAGATTTAAATGTGTTTATAGATTCTGGGGGAACATAACTTGTAAGAACATAAAAATATTGGAGAGAAAGAATTAAGGTTCTTGAAGGCAAGGTCAACTCCAGGTACAGACATAGAGGCTAACCTTAACTATGAGAGTGGAAAAAAAGGAGGTAAGTATACAGATATGAAAAGTCTTTTTTAAAAATACAAATTAAGGGAATTTAAATGTGGAGGTAGTTGTAAAGTACTTCAAGAGAATGATCAAGAGATTTTGTATTTTTACCTTTCCTTTTTCCTTCTCTTACAGGTCACCCTCGCAATTATGGATATTTAAAAGGATCAGACAGTGTGGAGGGGGAGTTCCCCTCCTCACTCCCCCTTGGTGCTTGACTCTAGGAATAATTTATAAACTGTGGAATTTTTTTTAAATGAAGAACTTGTATTTGATATGAACTTTATAGTTATTTATAACTTTTTCTGATTTAAGTGCCAAAAAGATTATACAAAGATACATATAGTTTTATACTGTTGCCACGAGAATTTAAACTATAATCCTAAAGGGGTCATTTATTTTCTTTCTTCTTGGAAATCATCTTCGTGTCCTGGCTTTTTCATTTTTAATAATTAGTCTTCAGTGACTATTCTGAACAAGTAAGCAGTGTAAAAACAATTAGGATGAATTCTCCCATTCCTGACTGCACGTCAAAATGTCAGTCTCTGAAGCATGCTTTGGATGTCCTTTCTGTTGTAACAAAGGGGAGTGAAAAGCAGATTAAGGCTTTTCTCTCCAGTCATTGTTACAATGCTACAACTATCAAAGATGCCTTTGGCAGGAATGCTCTCCACCTTGTTTCTTCCTGTGGAAAGAAAGGAGTATTAGATTGGCTTATTGAGAAAGGAGTGGATCCACTGGTAAAAGACAAAGAGTCTGGCTGGACAGCATTGCACAGAAGCATTTTTTATGGACATATTGATTGTGTTTGGTCTCTCTTGAAGGTAAGTGTCATTTGTTTATTTAAAACCATTATTAGTCAAGGTATATGTTTTTTCATACATCCCACTTTCTAAGAAATATTTTTCATTTGTTTTTACCACTTGTTTATCTCTGATACAGTTCCTCTCTGAAATTAAAATCCCATATATCTTTTTAAAAAATTTACACTTCTTACAGATATTAAAATTTTATGGATTATTTTACATAAAATTTTAAACATCAAAATTTATGAGATATAAGGAATTATTGGCCAATTTGTGTATATCAAGTATTGTTTTGAAGTAACTCCCACTTTGTGATTTAGTCAGTACTCTTGTTGTTAAAAGAAAAACTATAGAAAAAAACAAATTTAATAGTGTTTATTTGAGCAAAAAAATGAATCATGAATCAGACAGCACTTAGAACTAGAGAAATCTAGAGTGCTATGATGCAGTAGCATTGCCAGTGAGTTTTATAGGCTAATGCAGAAGATAGGGAAACTACATTTAATTGGTCATAATGGAAAGACTCTGATTAGAAGTTAGTTGGTAGTTTCTGATTGGTAATGTATCTAGTTTCATTTTACTGTTTTTATTGACTTTGACTTGCTTACATCGGAACTTATATTAGAGCTACCCCAGTCCAATGGCATCCCAAGTAAATTATTTTTAATGATCTCTTCTGCTATCTAAAAAAATATGGTTTACTCTTAAGTAATTAAGTTATTAACTACTTTCAAAGGGCATTGGTTGTGAACATCACTTAGGGACTGTGTTTTTGAGTAATATGTTCATTTCTTGTTTAACTGAGATAAAATGTTTATATTTCTTAAAAATATGGATAGTTAAAATCATTTTAATTTTATGAAATTTCCCAGTTTTTTAGATGAAGTCTAGGTTTGTTGTGTAAATTGCCAAATAATGAAGTATTTTGAGGCACACCCCAATGTTATTTCCCTGGCCAAAACTCACAATTAGAAGTCATGAATTATAAATTTAACAATTTTGTTTTATGTAGACATTTTGTCATGTTTTCACAGGCCCTAGAAAAGAATAGCTCCTGTCCTTAAGCAACTTGTAGTCAGATTAGGAAGCTTTAGTCTCTTCATCTCATTTTGAGTGTTAAAAATTATTTACATGGTAGCTTTTATGTGGTAATATTTTCTGGTCAAAATGTTTTTAATATATATTAATAGTAAAGTATTCCTTCTTTGGAGCTAAATTGGCTAGGCCTACTACTTAACTGAATCTCATTAGCTAATTTCCTGAACCTTGGACTTCAGTTTTATCTATAAAAAAGAGAATAAGTAATAGTAAATAGTAATAATTCCTTCCTTGTTTTTTCCCTAGGGAGCATCAGTAAAGAAAAACTTAATTCTTAAGTTTATTGATAATATAGTAAATTCCTCTTATATCTAAAATCTTTTGACTATTGACTTAATTATCTTATTATAATCTCTTTTTACAGGGAAAGCTAGGTTAGTAAGAGTTAAAAAGCATCAATCAGCTTTGCTCTTTTTCTTACCTGTAAAACCTTGACTTTTTTTCTGTTCTTTGCTGGAATATTGGATAGCTTTCCTTGGATTTTCTATTATCCAAGGGTTTGCCATTCATGTGTCAGGATTTGAAGCTTTAGTTTGAAATGGTTGTGGACTGGCCAAAAAATCGTGTCTTAACCTGCTTGCCCTTAGTTTTACTCTCTTATATTGTCATTAAAGCCTTACCAAGCTGTGATAAATATCCAGCTGTGGGTGAATTCCACTGATAAAACATTTTCACAAAAGCTCCTTTAAGCCATTTAGTATTCTCATATTGGAAGCTATCTGCATTTTTTTTTTTTTTTTCAGCACATCTTTCTTTCTTTTGGCCTTGCAACACTCCTGTAATTGCAAGTGATAGTGCTTCATCGAAGGGGCCTTCATGTCTGTTCCACTTCTGATGCCAACTATATAGCACTTCAGCTGTTGTGAATTGGCAGGAAGAAATTATACACACATAGGCATTTCAAGTGAATTTGCATTTGATAAAACTTCATAGCTACAAAATTTTTAAGTTAAGTGCCAAAATAAATTGTATAAATATAGACCCATACTGTAAGTTCCTGATTGCCAAAGATACAAAGCCTTATCAGAAACTTGTTGCGTATAAAAAAATTACGGTAGGGATAGCATATCTTATGCAGAATTTTCTTTGGCTCCCTCATTCTATTATGAGATGCATGCTGGCAAAGACTTAATGCTTACAGTGTTCTGCTTTATTTGTTGTCTGTTGTCATTTACCATTGTTTTCCCCCACCCCCACCCCAAGCCTTGGTGTTTTTCTTACTATTCTGAAAGAACTTGCTATGAATTTTTCCCCATTGGTAAATTGGAGTCATTAGAATTGCAAGGTTTTATGGAAACAAATGCTTTACAATATGAAAATATATGGAGCAAATTATTTTGAGTATCTGATAACATTCTAGACAATAATCTAGGCACTTGGGATATTGCAGTAAATTAGCCAGAGTCCTTTCTTGGAGTTTTCTTAGTAATAGGAGAAATAGACCACAATCAAGCAATTAAATGAACAAATAAGAAAGTATAATAAATGCTGGTATATTAGAGTTCTTTTTTGCATGCAATGGGAGCTAACTCTGGTAACATAAGCAAAAAGATTTAAAAGGATACTAGAAGGACATAGGATACTTCTCAGAATAGAGGTTCAGGTCATGAACCAAAACACCCAATTAACTGTTAAATTATAAATAAATCAAGGCTTCTCAAACTAAAATAGAATAACTATAAACTAATTAGAGTAATTAATCTGAAATTTTGTCTTCTCCACCTCCAGGTATAATTAAACAGCAGAACCTGTTCCTAGTTTGTGATATTAAAGCCATGTCATTGGAATATCAGAGACTGCTTACTCTTCTGTTTCTGTAGTAGGAGGGCATCTAGCCAGTTTTCCAAAAGTACTATCAAAGTATTGAAGATTAGCTTTGAAAGAAGCAGAGGAGAATACATCCTCGTTTTACCATATAGAAATTACATATTCTCAGAATATTTCTTTCGGTTTTGACTTTCTTGGCAGTATATGGGCAGGCATAGCCAGAGAGCTATATTAAACTCATTCAACTTGGCTTGTAATCAGTTAAAAAGATCAGTGCATTAGATACTCTTGAGGAACTACTTCATGTCATTATTGGCCTTAATTCCACCACAGCTTTAGTGACCAGTTTTGAATAGGTTTCTAGCAGCTTTGGGTGGGTATAATCTTCATCTTGTTTCTGATACTACTGCATACCTCTTATTTTATGTCCCAGAGTTTGGCACACATATATGACTAACAGAAAGTATGAGAGTTATAAGTTTTTGTAGAGCAATTATTGGGTAATGGACAATGGAGCCAGTGGTAAATATTCCCTTCTTTTATCCCTTGATTGGACAACTGATTATTTTGACATATTGTCTAAGACTTTCAAACATCCTGACAGAGATCTCCTTAGTAGCAACTTGATAACACATTCTAGTACTGATCTTTTCTCCTTTCTTGATTTTTTTCTCACTGGTTCATCAGTACTGCTTTCTAGAACTTCTCATTCAGGTCGTGCGAGTCTTTATCGTATGTTCTGCTTTGGGGTAATACAGTTGAAACAAACAGTTTTATGTTATTTCCTGACAATCGCCTATAGTAGTGTTACCAGTGTTTTATAGTAAAATAGTTGTGTTTAAAGTCCATGTGCTGCTTGTAGAGTATTGTCATGAAATGCTCAGGCTTATAACGCTATTATAGACTCAGATGTTACTTAGTAAATGAATTGGCCACCATTTTGGGCATATATCAAAAAATTGATTTTTAAGTGGAAAAGACTACACCTAGGTTCTTCTACCTTTAGAGTTTAAAATAAACATTTTAGAAAGTATCAGCGTTCACTAAGGAGCTAAAAACAAAAGTCTCTAGTCCTTTGTGCAGTTGGGGCTGCTTAGGATGTTGCATCTGTCTTTAGTTTTAATAGGGTTCAGTTGGTATATGTAAAATTCAGGGCAAGTTTATAAAACTGGCAAAAAAAAAAAAAAAAAAACCAAAATAAAACCTTCCAGGGATCTAAGTTATTAACTTCTCACTTGTCAGAGTCATAATTTGCAACACTTTGCCTCAGAATCTACCCTTCTTAACCTTATGAAGGTCAACCTTAAGTTTTCTCACAAGGACTTATCTTTTTTTAACAATTGTGGGCAATGCACAATTTTAAATTTATTAAGATATTAGACAATCATTTCTGCATGGTTCATTTTAGCTTATGACTATCCAGATAAACTGTGTAAACAGGCAGTGGTGACATGTACCATGTAAAATAGATAAGTCTGAATATTGTTGAAAATCCTATAAAACTGTCATCAAATAAGTTATTCTTGGCAAGGAGTACATTTTCTATTTAAAACATTGAAATGAAGTGACAATAATCTGAATTTAATTGCTCTCTGTCTTGTTTCCCACCCCAATTAAAAGGTGCTGACTGGGCTTGGGTGTGCTGTTAAGTGATACACAAAGTGTTCTGTTTCACATTGGAAATGTGGAGATAAGAATTATAGATCACTTTATTTCTCCTTAAAAAAACATACACACATTTTGAATATATATAAAATTTGTAATCTATATGTGATTTACAAAAGACTGCAATTAATGCTCTAAAAATTTAAGAGACAAAATATTGTACAAATGGATATAGAAGGATATAGTCTCTTATGTCAGTAATAGTTACAATTGAGTTCCAGGCAAAAAGAAATGGGACATGGATGATCACATTATAAACACTAAATTCAAAGGTAAGTATTGTGCTGCTACAGCCTTGGAATCTTTGCAGTCCTTACCTGTAAAAGAAATGGAATATGACTCTTTTACACTTTTACATGTTTGTGTAAACATGTATACTCATACAGATACAGTCACAGCAGTAGGGCGGGCCTTCTAGGCAATCAGACCTGCCTTACTGTTAGTCTTTTCTATTACAATTCCACAATATCTGATATAACTCAATTTACAAAGAGGAAAGTTTGTTTGACTCACATTTTTGGAGATTTTATACCATGACTGATATAGCACAATATATAATGGCAGGGAGAATGTGATGGATCCTGAGGTAGCACGGTGTATAATTGGCAGGGAGCATGTGGTAGAGCAGACTGCTCACCTCATAGTTATCAGAAAGCACAAGAGGAAGAAACCAATATCCTATAATCCCCTTTGAGGTCATGCCCCCAATGACCCAAGGCTTCCCACCAGTCTCCAGTTACAGGATCCAACACCTCCCAGTAATGCCACAGGATGAGGACCATGCCTTTGGGCCTTTAGTGAACATTACAGATCCAAATTTTAGCATTTACCTTATAAAACTGTCATATCTAGTTCATCTTAATTAAAGTGTTACTTATTTTATTTCTTCACATTTTCTGGTGAAGAAAAATTGGTGATTTTTCTCAGTTCTCTTCTGTGTGAGAAATGTGTATGAATATGAGATTATTACTAAATGTTTAATTTTATTTTTTCATTGTATTAATGGGATTGATTATCTTTTTGATTCTTTAGAATAGAAAATTATCAATTATAAGCAAACAGATAAAATGTGTGTTTCTTTTTATAGCATGGTGTTAGTCTGTATATTCAAGATAAAGAAGGCTTGTCAGCTTTGGATCTTCTAATGAAGGATAGACCAACTCATGTAGTATTCAAGAATACTGGTAAGAAAATTATGTAAATATATTCCATTAAGGTACAGCTTAGAACATTTCCTATTATCATAATGGGAAAGATTTATTTGTGTGTGGATATCTGCAAAGAACTATTGCTTAGGTATATGTTAGATTTTATATATTATATTTTTTGTTTTAATTTCAGAACACTTTGTTTTATTGTGAATTTTCAATTTTAATTTATACTTATGCCTATGAGAATAAAAATGCAACCTAAAATATTAAGGCATTTAGAATTGTAGCTATTATAAAGTAATTAATGTACACCTGGAAAACAATATCAACTTGAGGAGAGGTAAAATTAATGCTCTGTGGGATTTAGAAATAAGAATTAGTGAAAAAGAGAAGAGATTTAAATGGTATATTCTGTAATTTTCATCTAAGCTAAGTAAGGATGCACTCTTCATTGGAAACTACATTTTAGGTAACAGTTATAATTCCATTCTGGGAGTTCATCAGGCTTCTAAAATGAAAGTGAAGATTTATGTCATAAACTTGTGTCATAAACTTAGCTATTAAGCTTTATCCCATTTCACTGGGATCTTACCCTAGTCACAAGTGCAATCTTATCCCTATTAAGAGCAAACTATTCAAAGTTAAAGTTTCAGTAGATATGTCAGTATCACATTTGCTTCATTTAGAGCCATTATATGCAAGATTAATAACATCTTGCACTTAAAATAATATGTTATTTTCATCGAAACTAAGTAGATATGATAGGTGATGGTTTGCTCATTTGCATTTAAACTTCAGCTGCTAAGAAAACAAGAAAAAGGCATTTGATTACTTATACTGAGACAGATTTGTACTGCAATTTGGGTTTTTTGATTTCTGCAGTTTTCTAGAATTATATAATATATTAGAAGATTCATAATTTTAAAATATTCGTTGTTATATTCTTGTCAGAACTCATATTTTAGATAAGTTGATTAGTATATATTGTAAACTGTACTGGTATGTATTTTAAAATAAAAAGTATAAAAACTAATTTTCATTTTAGATCCTACAGATGTCTACACTTGGGGTGATAATACAAATTTTACTCTGGGTCATGGAAGCCAGAATAGCAAATATCATCCAGAGTTGGTGGATCTGTTCTCTAGGAGTGGCATTTACATCAAGCAGGTATTTTGAAATACAATTTGTATACTTTTGGAGATTAAAAATAACTTGTTTTGTATTTGATAGTTTGCCTATGGGTTTGTTGATTTTATTGAAGGTATAATAACAATTTAATGAAGAAATCTATCCATGGAACTTTACTAATTATGTTTTTAATTTTGTTAGCATTAATCTTATTTAAACTATGAAAAATGATTCCCAAGTATGAGATGTTTGTGCAAGGAGTGTTAGAAATTAGAAGCTGCTAATGAGTTTAATTTTAAGAAAGTAGAACTTCTGTTAATTTTCTAGTGTTTGTTCACATTTAACAAAAATTAGAATTTTTCAAGTTACTTTTTAAGTGACTTTGTTGACGTTTAGTGTTATTTTTGATAACAGATAAGTTTCTATGTGAGTAATGGTACAAGTTTAGTTGATATAATTGTAAAGTTTTGTTTTTGGTCTTATGTCCTTCTGCTGGATGATACATTCTACTTTCATAGATTCTGCTACTGTTAGCATACTCTCTTTCTCTATAACATTGTACATGTATTTGTGTGTGTGTATGTATAATTTATACCTTTAGCCTCAGCCTTTTTCTTGGGCTTCATTTTAATTGTACTTTGGGCAGCAATTTAAGGTGTTTAAATTTAATATCTGAAATCTTATTTTGGCCACTCTTAAAACTTTCTCTACTTAATTTGCTTTAATATTTATTTTTTAGCTGTAGATGGACACAATATCTTTGTTTTATTTTTTTATATGGTACTAAGGATTGAACCCAGTGCCTCATGCATGCAAGGCAAGCACTCTACCTATCACTGCACTACAACCCCAGCCCCTCTACTTAATTTTTAATGGTGTAAATTTCAGTTTTTAAATTCTACAGATTTTATCTCAGAACATATCTATACAGTTCATCTCTGTCTTATGCACTGGTTTTGTCAGCTTTGTTATTTTAACAAACTACTTGAGATGATCAACTTAAAAAGAGAAAAAAAATTATTTTGATTCATAATTGTAGAGGTTCCAGTTCATGGCCACTTGGCCCTGTTGCGTTTGGGCCTGTGATGAGGTAGCATAGCATGGTGGGGACTGTGTCATGGAGAAAGCAGCTTACCTCACAGTGGCTGGGAAGCAAAGAGAAAAGAGAGAAAGCTAGAGAGAGGACCTATAGTCCCCCTTTGAAGACATGCCCTCAGTGACCTAAAACCTCCCACTATGCCCTAGCTGTTAAAGGTTTCTGCTACCTTCCAGTAGCACCTAGCTGAGGACCAATTCTTTAAATACATGAACCGAGCTGCCAGGCCTTTTCTAAGCTCATTCTTGGATAGTGACAACAATGTCCAGACTTGACTCTTTAACCTCATTAAATTTCATCTTCTGTTAATATCTTTTTTAGAATTATTATCTTTAAGAAACAGAGCTAATTATGTTTTTATCTGTTAATTCATCTTTGAATAAAATCTAAACTCTGTGGCTTAGAATGTAAGGCCTTTTAAAATCTTTTTTTTAAAATTCTAATTTGTTATATATGACAGCAGCCTTGTTTAATTTTCCTAAACTATCATGTTGGCTCATTCCCAGTACTTTCTAGTTGTTTTTTATGCATTTTGATATTCTTAAAATGACTTGTCTCAAATTAGGAGCTTGTTTTTTATTAATGTGTTACTGACACATTGGAACTTTTACCTGATGTTCATGTCTCATACAAATATTTAATTCATAGTTTGAGATTGAACTCTGTTTTTAAAACTACTTTGAGCTGGGTGCAATGGCACAGGCCTATAATCCCAGTTAAGGCAGAAGGATTACAAATTTGAGGCTAGCCTCAATAATTTAGTGAGGCTCTCAGCAACTTAGTGACACTGTCTCAAAATAAAAAAATATAAAGGGCTGGGGATGTGGCTCAGTGATAAGCACCCCATGTTCAATCCTTAGTACCCCATCCCCTAAAAAAAATTGTGTGTGTGTGTGTGTGTGTGTGTGTGTGTGTGTGAAGAGAGAGAGAGAGAGGAACTACTTTTTCTTTTTAGTACTAGGGATTGAAACCAGAGTTGCTTTACCACTAAGCCATATTCCAGCCCTTTTTTAAATTTTGTTTTTTATTTTGAGACAAGATCTTCCTAAGTTGCTTGCTAAGTTTTTGCAGCTGGCTTCAAACTTGTGATCCTCCTATCTCAGCCTCCTGAGACCCTGGGACTACATACCTGTACCTCTACTCTAGTCGAACTGCTATGACTGTTATTTGCCTGATTTGCCTAGGAAAGATTTGGTTTTTGATTGTTTTCCTAGTGTAATTTGTTAATATCATTACCTTTCATTCTTAAAAATATTTGGATGACAAATTGTATGAATTATATCTTTAGGGCTCTGTAGAACACTACAGAGTTTACAGTTTACAGTTACAGCAGGAGTTTCTGCCCTAATGCAATCCAGAACCTTGAGCTCTGGACTATATATGTATGTGTGTATGTGTGTGTGTGTATATATATATAAATATATATAAATATATCTTATATATATATATATACACACTATATATGTATATGTATGTATATATAATATATTTGTATTTTAGAAATTAAAGTGAAAAGCCATGCTTAGTAATTTTCTTTAAAAATTACGATGTTTTAAAGTTGGAGGACTTAAATTTTCTGGTATCAATGGTGTTTTAATAGAAGTCAGAAGTTGTATAATGGCCTTCTAGTATAAATTTAAACAAAATATTTTATTTCTTGACTCAAAATGATCTTTCCTCTACAAATTTTAACTTTAAAAAAAATACAAGTTTGTACTTTAGACTCTTTTTTAAAGATATTTGTGGTACAGCTAGATGAGATAATGACCTGTGTATCACCTTTAATTGACAGGCATGTTATGTTTATATAACTTTGTGAGTGGCCTAAGGATATGAAAATACAGTTCAGCTTATAATTTTCTTATTTTCCAAAGGACTTTGACTTTCTGGAAAATTATGTTGAACTTTCTTTATTTCTTACTCATTTTTTTAATATCTGAAGAAGTATAAATACAAATATTTTTAAAAAGAATAATAAAAGATATTTAAAATAATATATTAAGGTAGAATGAATACAATAAAAATAGAATTAGAAAAATATAGCCTGGAAGTTAGGTATGGAATTATACACACATTTGCTGTTGGTTTCCTATTACTGCTTTCTGATGATATAGTTCAGTCATTTCAGTGTCCTTGACTTCTGGAATATGTGAATGAGTAAGTGTGTTTTAGGAACAGGAAGGATATTGGGAATCAGGCAGATAAGGAAAAAGAAGGTGGGAAAGAGAGAAAAACTTAAAAGTAAATATAAATTATTTTAAGCCACATAATATTAAAGATACATTAGATAATATTAGAAATACGAAAAGGATGTACTTAGCCCATTGTTATTTAAAAAATACTCTTTAGACATTTCTACTACTTTTATTAATAATGTATATGATTATTTGTTAATCTTTATGCTTTGTATTGCACTCTGTTCATTTCTTGCTATTTGGTATTTCATGAAATTAGAAAACAAAGAGCCATTATGTTTTGTAATCGAAGACTTAAAAGTTAACATTTTTCTTCTGTAGATAATGCATAACTGAATTGTCTTCTATGTTCTTTTTTCAGTGTCATCATTTTTAGATAATTTAAAGTAAAGCATATTTTTTATTTATTATAGAAAATTTTAAGTGGAATTGTATGACTCCCCCATCATCCAGCTTAAACAATAGCAATATTCTATGTGTTTTGTAAAATAGAGGATATTGTATTCATAGAAGATCAATAATGTTCTTTTGTTTTTCCTTAGGTGGTGCTTTGTAAATTTCATTCAGTGTTTCTGTCTCAGAAAGGGCAGGTTTATACCTGTGGTCATGGTCCTGGAGGGCGTTTAGGCCATGGAGATGAACAGACTTGCTTGGTAATTGAAATGTCATTATGCAGTTCAGGTAGCTTCAGTAAAACTTTGACAAATTGGAAGTTTCAGTTAACTCAATTTCCACCCCCCCCAACCACACTGGGAAAATAATATACCAATTGATAATAAGTTCTAAATAAATCAGTATTATCATCTTACATAAAATGAAGATAACAATTCCTGTATTCATGGAGCTATTGTGAAACTTAAAAGAAATACTAATGGATGAAAAAATAATAATGACTAGAAGCAATAAATTATCTCCTCCCAAACAGAAGTTATCATTAATCTTTCTCTCCTTCTTAAAGCATCCTTTGATAGATAATAAATATACTAATAGTCCTCTTAAAAAAAATTCCTAAAAATAACTGAGTGAGCTAATTTTTTGATAGGTAGTAAGTTTCTTCCAATTAGCACCAAGTTTCAGTAGCAAAAAATAAAATTTTGTGATTATAAAATGAAAACTTTTCAACTGTCAGTATTTTATTAGAAATATAAAATAAATAAAACCTATTCTGTTCCGGATAGTGTTTTACATTAGTCTGCCTTCATAGTTCAACCCTGGTAATAATCATAAAGCTTATTTAGATACTCTTCTGATTCGATATTTGCTATATTTCCTTTGATACTTTTGTTTTATATCTAAATACTTAAGTTAAACATTGTATACTAGGAACTAACTGATTAAAAATTTGATTAAGATCAAATAGCTAGTGAGTTGCAGAAGATTTGAACCCAGTGCAGATAAAACTCTGAAGGAGCATGATACTGTATGGTTGGTTACTCACTGAAGGGAAGCATTGATTCTTTTATTTTGTTTTTTTCTTTATATAATTCCATTGATTACTTCCCTTTATTCATACGAAACAAATCTGTACTTTGTATTTGGTAAGAACTTAGAAATAATTTATTGAATTGAATTATTTTTTGAAATTTCTTGTTCAGCTTATGTATTTTGCTCATAAACCAATGACCATATAATTTTAAATTAATCTGCCCGTTGCTGAAATTTAAAGTTTACTTATGTTAGATACAGTCATGTCAGTTATAACATTTTGGATAAAGTATCATCAGATTCTTTTGTATTTTCATATAAATGGTTTAAATAATAAAATTTATTTTATAGGTTCCCAGGCTTGTGGAAGGACTGAGTGGTCATAATTGTTCCCAAGTGGCAGCTGCTAATGATCACACTGTTGTATTAACTGAAGATGGATGTGTTTATACATTTGGTCTAAATATTTTTCATCAATTAGGAATTGTTCCTCCACCTTCCAGTTGTAATGTACCCAGACAGGTAAACTTCTCTTTTTTAAACAATAAGGTGACATTTGCTTTTTTGCTATAAAACCTACATGGACATTAAGGTGTAATGTATTGACAGAGCAACTTTTTTTTTTTTTTTTTTTTAATTTTACTTATTTAACTTCATCTTCAGTGTTGTATGTGTATCCTGTTAAGGAGAAATTGAGTAGTGCTGGTATGTGTATGTTTGTGCATGTGTGTGTGTGTGTATATTCTCCCATCAAAAAGAAATTAAGCATTATGCAAACCTGCATTTGTTTGGAACAAGAAAGAAAGCACTAGGGAAATCAAGCACTTGATAGATTAGCTACCAAACTATAGATTCAACCTTTAAGTATTCATAAGCAGAGGATGAACTAGATTTTGGGCTTATTTGTTCATTTTTGTTCCTTGTGAGGTTTTTTTTTTTTTGGTGTGTGTGTTAGTATTGGGAATTGAACCCAGCCTCTCACATATTAGGCATGTGCTCTGCCCAGTGAGCTACACCCTCATCCCTAGATTTTTTAGGTTTGAAACTTCAAACAATTTTTAGGTCTTCTTTAAGAAAAGAAGAGGAAATTTATCAGTACAACTTGGGCCTGTACAAGCGAGGCACTAAATAACCTAATTTACCAGCTATATTAAATCTGATCACATATGTCACAACTGGTAAGTTGATGTTATGAAATGTGGGTCCATAACCCACCATGTTTTGTTCCACTTTTCCAATTCTGTCTGTCCAACCGTTGCCAGAAGATGCCCTTTCCTCACTTTTAACAACCTGGCATATAGAATTGGGACTAGTGCTCTAAATTAATATTAGAATCATCACCTATAACAAGTGTGTTTTCAGCTCATACAATTTTGCATTTTAATGTTAAAATTCTTCAGCAATTTTCTTGATTTAAAATTCCTACTACACATACATGTTTTATTAAGTATTTGAATCCAACACCTTCCTATTCTGAATTAATAAGAATTATTTCAAAATATTTGGGAGTAGTCTTCAATTTTTCTCTAACTGGGATCTGTGGATATTTAATCATTTCATAGACTTCTCTAGGAATGGCAAATAAATTTTACTCCCATTTTTCTTATTGTATATCACTTGGAGCTGTGAGTTGATACACATGTGGAGTATTCTCAACTGGGAGCAGTTTTGATTCCTGAGGCTGTTTGGCAGTGTCTGGAGACTTTTAGTTATTAGAACAAGAGTGTGGCTGGGTGTGGTGGTGCACGCCTGTAATCCCAGCAGCTGGGGAGACTGAGGCAGGAGGATCGAGAGTTCAAAGCCAGCCTCAGCAAAAGCAAGGTCCTACGCAACTCAGTGAGATCCTGTCTCTTAAAAAAAAAAAGGGGGGGTTGGTTGACCACTTGAGTGCTCCAGAGTTTAATCCCTGGTCCCTCCACCAAAAAAAAAAAAAAAAAAAAAAGGAGTGTATGTACATAAACTATACACACTAGTGAGTGGAGTCTGGGGATGCTTCTAACCATCTTATAGTACACTAGATGATTCCTCTTAACAAGGAATCATCTGGCCCAAAATGTCAGTAGTGCCACTGTTGAAAATGACTCTGTAAATGTCAAATTAAAAAGTACCATTCTTTTTGCTAATGCCTATTTGCATATTGCTTATTAGAAAAAAATAAATAGGCAAAAGTTTAATGATTTGGTTTTTAAACCATGTCAATTTTTTTTGTGTTAAATCTGCTTAGTGAAAGTGCTGCATGAGAATATCTTGTGTTCTGGGAAAGGTTTGGGTCTCAGTACAAGTGCTAAGATCTATTAGCAGTAATTGCCATTAGCACTTGTGAGGGTGATAGCAGCAAGTATGCCATGTATATTTGCTAACCTGGTCTACTGGGTCTTTGAAAAAATTGTAGTAGATCATAGATATATATAAAATGCAGTCTTATTTGTCTTTTTGAACAGATGCAGGCAAAATATCTTAAGGGAAGGACTATCATTGGTGTAGCAGCAGGCAGATTTCATACAGTGCTGTGGACTAGAGAAGCTGTTTATACCATGGGACTAAATGGTGGACAACTAGGTAAGAAATATTTCTTGACAATTACTAAAAAATCAGTGGGGGCTTAAAACAGATAATTTATGATTTGTTTATTTGTATAATTTTTTTAGGATGTTTACTAGATCCCAATGGAGAAAAGTATGTAACTGTTCCTCGTCAAGTCTCTGCCCTTCATCATAAGGATATCACTCTGTCTTTGGTTGCTGCAAGTGATGGAGCTACAGTCTGTGTTACTACCAGGGGAGATATTTACCTACTTGCAGACTATCAGTGCAAAAAGCTGGCGTCTAAGTATGTGTAGAAGAAACAAATCTTTAAGTTTCATATTAACTGTTCCAGCAAGTATGGAATGTCCACTTTATATTGTGCTCTGTAAATGTTAAGTGAAAAATTGAGAGGAAAGTCAGGAAGTTTTGCCTTTGATGATCTTTGTATTTTGACAAGGATCCAGTGACTATATGTAAAATATTTTTGTAAGTTGTAAAACAATATTTATAAGTTATATTTAACATGTTTAAATATGACTTATAATTTTTTTTCTTTTTTAATGCATCTGGTGCACAGAACTAGATTAATGATAATTCTTGGCTTGTGCTACTATTATCATTGGTTTATCTGTAGCCTTTTATATCTTCTTAATTTATATATTTTTAAAAAATAATTAATGTATACCATAAATCTTTTATCCATGCTCAGTGTTTTATCTAATTGATATATATTTTATTATTTGTATTTGTAACTTGTTATGTTTTAGTAATAAGCAGTAAACTAGCAGTCGGTTAGAAAACAAAAAGTTAAAATAGAGAATCACAATGTTTTTAGCAAGGATACTTTTTCCAGTTGGAGTTTTCTTTAGTTTATAAACCACACTCATAATGTTTTACCTGTGATTTTTTTTTTTCCATTTTGAATGATGGAAGGAGCAACTGCTTAAAAATAACTGTGAAGTAATGTAAATGCAGAATCCTGTACTTACATATTTCAGTCTCTTGTAGTTGATTAATGCATATCTGATTTGGTAGCATTGTGCTGCTGCTTGTATTCATTGTGTCATTCCAAAGTATACAACTCTTATGGAAAATATTTTTCAGACTAATATTTTATTAATTTAGATAATATTTTATTATATTGTACAATTATAGAAAGAAATACAAGTACAGAATTAATTTTTGCACCAATGCAACAGATTCTTGGGAAAATATAGTTCAACTAATGGAAGCAGTTGTGGGCAAGAATTCTAGAGAACCATCTAAGTTTTAAGGCAATTAGGGACTTAAATTTAAATGCAACAAAATATACTTTGTTCATGTAAAGAGGTGGTAACTTAAACAGATACCATACTTGAAATTAACTCATGATCAGAAAATGCCAAGCATCAGTTTGTCATAATTTATCTTCTCTATATAATAATTAGAAAGTTACTTTTGACATTAATTGTAGGTCATAGTTCATTAATAGAAACATGAAAAAATGAACAGATGTGTTTCTTTAAATTGACTAGGTTGTTTTATTCCTGCCATGAGGTGATATAAGTTAGTATTTTTAGTTAACATTTATAAAATTGCCCTTGTACCATTAAATTACATACATATATCCAAGTTTTCACTAGGACAGTTCTTTTGTTGTAGATTATTAGGACATAGTAATTTTGGAAATATTTTTTTTAATGCAGGTAAACTGTTTGAAAGGGAAAATAGTCATTGGGATAGCAGAAGGTAGTTTTCACAATGATGCTGTGCACATCAGATATACAGATATAGTGAAGTGTGTGGCAAATGTGTAAATTTTTAATTAGCAATAGTGATGAGTTCCTATTTTAAGATTGACCATATTTAAAATTAATCATGTCTCATTTTGAACTTTTTTGGTTTTTGCAGAGCTGGGGATTAAATTTAGAGCCTTGAACATGCTAGATAAGTACTGTACCACTGAACCATATCCCCAGCCACTAATTTTGAATTTTACATATTTTTCTATTCAAATGGTTATACGTATAGGAGATTGTAGCCTTACTTAAACTCTAAATGAATGTATGCATTAGCAAGTGGGGTTTAGGTATTGAATGTGTATGTGAGTTGAGGCTTTGAGAGGGAAGAACTTGCCTTACGAAAGTCAACCACCAACTTAAAGAAAGGAGAGACTGGTGATTCCAGAGACCAGATCATTTTACTTCATCTTTCATAATAATTGCCTATTAGTTATTATCTGATTAGTTATATCTTTAAAGTTAATCATGTTTACTTTAGAGAATATATTAATTGAGGAATTTTTTTCTTTTCCATCCAGACAACTAAACTTGAAAAAGGTTCTTGTGTCTGGGGGTTGTATGGAATATAAGGTTGATCCTGAACATTTGAAAGAAAATGGGGGTCAAAAAATCTGCATTCTTGCAATGGATGGAGCTGGAAGGGTGAGTGTATTTATGTAAAAGCTCATTTGACAGGCATAGGAGATCTAACAGTGTGAGAATGTTTTACCATTTCTGTGATGATTTCTGTTGACTTTCTTACTTATTTTTGACATCTGATACTATGTAATATAAGCTAGTATTTCAGAGGAAGTATGACAACATTTAATCTAATGTTCACAGTATTACAGTGTCAAACTATAAATTAAAATTCCATTTATTGTTCTTAAAATGAACATAAAGAATTTTGATGAATTGTTAGGTATGCATACTGAGTATTGATAAGTGGTGTCGGATTGCATAGCTAAGGGATGTCATGTAACTACTCTTAAAAAGTAAAGACTCAGCAGCCAATATTGCAAATTTGGTGCATAATTGGAAAATTTTCCCTCAGATTTAGTGTTATACAAATGTTCACATTATATAAATGCACAGATTATAACTATTCACATTATGTATGTAAAAGCTAGTATATTTTCAGATCATTATATATGAAGAATCTTACCCCTTAGTTTTAATTTTACTTCCCTGTACAAATATAGCTGTACATTTATCTAATAAGATGGTTAATTTGAAATATATTTTCAATTTGTATGTTTAAATGTATACTTAAATATGCATTGATATTTGTATACCATATATAATATTTTAAATTTATAATAAAACTTAGAAGTGTTTAAATTAAAAATTACATTTAAAAAGAAATGCATTGGTAACACTGAAAAAATTATAGACTTTGGCCAAAAAATTCATAGTTTTCTGTCTTTTTTGCTTATGAAGTAAAAAATAGGAATGTTTTCTGTCTAAAAAGTGCTGTAAAATTAGACATTTTGGAAATTGAAGAATTAATCATAAATCTCTATGTCTGGTTCATTATTGGTATAAATTACTGTCATTGATAATTCTATAGATTTTTCATGAAAGTAACATGTATGATCTTGGTGGTTACTGTTTGTGCTTTAGTTTTTAAAATTTGATGATGAGGGAATTAGTCTCAAAAATCAGCAGTTTTAATTTTTCAAATGAAAGCATACATGGAATGCCAGTATAGAAACAGATACAAGAGTTGCTTCCCTGCATAAAGCTGGATTAGGAAACCTAATAAACTACCTTTCCTTATTCTCTCTGTCTCTTAGCGATTGTCCCAGATTCACTTCTCAGGACCACTGGGTTTTGCCAGGACCATTTGAAACGATTGAACTCTTTGATGATTTTTTTCTCTCTCGAGATTGTGTTTTAGTTACTTGTCTGAGTTAAGCACACATCTACTTTTTTTTTTTTTTTTTTGAGAGTTTACTTTGGATTTTCATAGGGTGATTTTCAATCTTGCAAATAGATAGCTATAGTAAACCTGAAATTCAGGTTTTAAGATTTTGTTTTTCTATAGCATTGTACCAAATCTATTTGTCCCCAATAAGTAATACTGAAAATTCTTTCTTTCTTTTTTTTTTTTTTTTTTTTGGTGGTTCTGAGGATTGAACCCAGAGTCTTGTACATGTGAGGCAAGTACTCTACCAATTGAGCTATATTCTCAACCCCAAATTATTTCTTATTAAGAGGAGTGTCTTTGAAGTAATTTTTAATGCTTCATGTTTGCTTAATGTATTTTCCTGAAAGTTCTTTCAAATCAGCTTGATTTTTGTAGTATTTATTCTGTAGAAAAATGAGCATTAAAACATACTATTTAGAGCTTTTATTTTGACAATATTGTTCCTTGACTTCAGATTTTACTTGTTCAGCTGCTGTGTTGCTTTATATTCTGATGTGATTTGGTTTTATTTTAGGTATTTTGCTGGAGATCAGTCAATAGTTCTCTGAAGCAGTGTCGATGGGCCTATCCACGCCAGGTCTTCATTTCTGATATTGCTTTAAATAGAAATGAAATTCTGTTTGTCACACAGGATGGGGAAGGATTTAGAGGGAAATGGTTTGAAGAAAAAAGAAAGAGTTCTGAAAAGAAAGGTTAGTTCACATATGTGGACAGCACATTAAAGTCCCTTTCAGTTAACTTAACAATATTATTAGGTTTTACCTTTAGTCATTTATGCAATATCTTTGTGATTTGTTTCTTAATGCTTGTCTCCTATTGGACTGTAAGTTCAGTGATGACAAGGGGGCACATTCCACTGTACCTTTAGCATTTGTCCTATTTCCTGGAACATTGTAGTTCCTCATTAAGTCATCTGTTGAATGAATAATTTAGTTATTAAATGCTAAAAATATATGTAATAAACATTTTAATTTTGGATAATTTATTATTTTTTGTATTTTATTTATTTATAGATTATTCAAATCTGGTAACATTTAAAGTATATTTACTGTGTGCTAGAGACAGGGAGAAGTTTTTTTGTTGTTGTTATCAGGGATTGTACCCAGTGGGCTTAAACACTGAGCCACATCCCCAGCCCTTTTTGTATTTCATTTTGAGACAAGGCCTCACTAAGTTGCTTAGGGCCTCGCTAAATTGCTGAGACTGACTTTGAACTTGCAATGCTCCTGGCTTCAGCCTCCTGAGCAACTGGGATTACAGGTGTGTGGAACTGCTCCTGGCCAGAGAAGTTTTCATGATGTGAAAATATGAATCCCTGTTCTCAGGGACTCCTAAGTTTATATGTACATGGTTCTGAGATTGATGCTCATAGGCACGTAAGTTTCTTAAGAACCTAGAAATTGGTGGTGGGGGAACAAGTGTTAGAGAAAGACTAGTAGAGCTTCCCTAAGACAGAAATAGAGGGAATTTGAGAGAGTAACTAGAACACAGGTTTCACTTGTAAATACTGAAAATTCTTAGAATTGTGTCTTAGGCAATGTTTAGTAATTGAATTCATGGTCTCATGATCCCATGTCTGGTTTTTAGTTTTAGTAAATGGTTATTTTCAACACCCCATATTCTCTGTCTGGCACATCTAATGAGTTACTGAATTTTGTTTCTTCTATCTCAGATGCTTTTGAAATCTTTTTACTTTTCTGTACATCAATTGCTACCAACTCAGTCTATATCATTTATTCATTTTTTGGAATGTAAAGTAATACAGATTCTTTATTCTTGTGTACTTTAAAAATTCTTCACAGTTTAGCTAGAGTCATTTCTTCATATGCAGATTTCATGACTCTTGTGGAAGCACTATATAGTTTGCTTTCATAGTTTTGATTTGACCTGTAATGGTACATTCTTGTTTAATGTCTTTCTAGATTGTGTACTTACTGAGGGTAGGGATGTTTCTTTCTTGATCACTAAAGTATCCCTACAGGTCGACACATGATCACTGTATTACAGTAGTACAGTATAGTCATTTAGGTATTTGCTGAATAAATGCAAGAAAAAGAAAAAAGAAAGGAAATAAGTAGGCAGATTATGAAGACAGTAAGTTTATATAGTTTAAATGTAGGTTGAAGAGTTTTAAAAACTAAAATATTACATTAGCCTTTTAGAAAGAATTTTGGTTACAATATGAAGGGTGTTTTTGCACAAAGAAATGAAATCATGACCAATTAAGAATTGATTCACTAAAAATTCTCTGTAATACAACAAATATTTAATGTAAAATGTTGTATTGAAGAGGGTATGTAATGCTTCAAAATAATAAATATAAAAGATATTCCATATTTTTTCCAATTGTTTTTCTATTCCTTTTACTCCTAAATCATTTTAATAATTCCTGTAAAGCTTTGATTAATTGTAGCATATTATTTTTTTTTGGCAGACGTTTTATCAAACCTACATAATCCCTCATCAGATGGGTCTTATGCTTCTGATACAAATAGTGTGTATGAAAGAATTCGACTTGAGAAACTTTCTTTTGCTCATAGAGCTGTTAGTGTCAGCACAGACCCAAGTGGATGCAACTTTGCAATCCTGCAGTCAGATCCTAAAACAAGGTATACTTGTAATTATTAAATTTCATTTTTAGAAGGAATGATGACTGGGTTTTCTTTTGTTTTCAGTAGTTCCTAGTACACATTTGAGTGCTGTTGCCAAGTCCTGTAGAGACCTTAAGACAAACATGTTACCAGGATAATCCAAAGGTGGAATTTGTTAATACTAGATAGGAATGATTAGTGTTCCCTTTAGTTTGTAACCTAATGCCTATTGAAAATATTGAAGATATATATACATGCACATGTATAATTTGTTTTTAGTACTTTATGCTGTGTTCTTGAATTCTCAAATTCTGAGAAATGTATTATAAATATTTCTTAGCAGTTTGTGAAAATCTCTGACCCTTGCATATGATGAGAATTGACAAAAAGAAGAGGTGGAGTAGAAACATCTATAGCATAGAATCCCACTGCAAATTTCCTACATCACATTAATAGACAGATAGGTTAAGATAAGAACCAAGGGTGTTGTTGAACAAAGAAGTAGTCTTGGCAGTAGGGTGACCATCCATTCTGGTTTGCTCAGGTCTGTCCTAGTTTTAGCAGTGAAAGTCTCATCTCCTGGGAAACCCTTCAGTCAAATCAGGAAAGTTAAAGGGTAAATTGGGAATGTGTGATTACATTGATGTAGTTCTGAAAGAACCAGTATTACAAATTGTTTGTGTATCTTAATATTTATTTTGACTTGAGTGTGTAACATATTTTTTGATTTGGGACTTAAAGTGTTCACTCAGTCCTTGGTTTGTGTTTCTTCACTTGTAAAATAAGATATTTGAAAGAGGAAAAATTGAGAAAATACTCTTTACTCATTTTTGAATGTTTTTAGTTATGTTTAGTAATTTAAAAACTTTATGTGAAACATCCATTTGAATTTACATTGCGTAGCATTTCATTGTAGCAACAGGGAATATTGCTTTCAAAGGAAAACTTAATTCTTGTTGTTTTAGTATGAGAGAAAAATACAAATAGAAAAAGGAACAGAAAGAATTAAGATTGATACAATTTCTAAGACTTTGTGATATTTTTATATTTGAGGACTTCCAAATTAAGAAAAAATCTAAATAAATAAAATTTTCTAAGTTTAATAAATAACGTCATTTGATTTTCAAAGGAATCAACCAGGGATGCTTTTTTCTCCCAATTTTCTTTAAAGTAAAAATTATTTTTGTTCTACTTCTAGCCTTTATGAAATTCCAGCTGTGTGCTCATCATCCTTTTCTGAAGAATTTGGCAAACTGTTGAGGGAAGCAGATGAAATGGACAACATTCACGATGTAACATTTCAAGTTGGCAACAGAATCTTTCCTGCACATAAATATATTTTGGCAGTGCGTTCTGACTTTTTTCAGAAATTGTTTCTTTCAGATGGTACCACTTCAGAATTTTCAGATGTTTACCAGAAAGATGAAGATTCTGCAGGATGCCCTCTCTTTGTGATAGAGAAAGTTCATCCTGAGTTGTTTGAGTACCTTTTACAATTCATATATACAGAAACTTGTGACTTTTTAACTCATGGCTTCAAACCACGAATACCCTTAAACAAAAAACCAGAAGAATATCAGGGTACTCTGAGTTCTCATATGAATAAAATGAATTGCCATGAAGATGATAATCAGAAGACAGCATTTGAAGTTTATAAAAGTAATCAAGCTCATAGAATTAGTGAAAGGCAGAAGAGCAAACCTAAATCTAAAAAAGGAAAAAGTGCCGGGGAAGATGATCCTGTAAGAATGTTGCAAAATGTTGCAAAGAAATTTGGCCTCAGTAATCTGAGTAGTAGGTATGACTCCTTAATATCTGTCTTGGACCTGAATTCTCCTGTTTAAATATTTTTACCTTTTCTTTTTTTGTTTTCTTATCCCCACTGCTCCCACTCCTTTTTTGGGAGAGGTTCATTGATGTGTTCTGTTTTCTGGTAGAGACATCTGTGGGGGACTCCCTGGTTTGGACATTAAAGGGTAGGAAGGCTATTAGAGGATTTCTGCCCATTGTGGTATGGCTCTCTAATAGGGATCTACAGTGACAAGCAATGTGGTGTGCTAGAAAGATCTTGGGAATTAGAAAGACTCATGAAATTATGCTCCTTAGTCTACTATTACTGGATTGCTGGCTGGGGCATATTTAATAGTTTGCTTGTAACTCATGTTCTCAATATATAGTAGGGATAATATTCACCTCATGTTATTGGCAAAGTTTTGTTGTATAGCATATGTAAAGTGCCTGAAACAGTATCTGTCACATTATAAATCAGATTCTTTGTTATTCTCTATTTTAAGACCTTTTTGTTACTTGCAAAAGAATAACATTAATTGAGGATTGTGAGAAGGGGAGGAGTGTATATAATATTTCTCTTTAACAATGCTGAAGGACTTTGTGCTATATCTTTGATTTGCTATTTTCAATAATGATATTGAATATATTTTTAATTCTAATTAAAATCAAAGAAAAATTAATTATTATTAAATATTATAATGGGGTTTGTTAGATACTTTTCTAAATGATGATATGATTATGTTCAGATATGAACTAAATTGTTTGATTTTTGTATGTTTGTCTTTTAATCTTGGTAGTGGAGTGTATCCACTTGTTGATTTTTTTTCTTTTCTTGATAGGTTAGATGAAGTCAGATTTGAAAATGAAAAAATTAATGTTATTGCTAAGAAAACTGGTAATAAACTGAAACTGAATCAGAAAAAATGGTAAGTTAGATAATGAAGATAAACTTTCATGTCTGGATTTTGGTGTACAAATGTAGAAATCAAAGATCTTAGGTATATATCCTCTTACCTTTTCTAGTCTTCATTTTTGGAAATTTTAGAGAGCTATTGAGTTAATGGATAAAACATTAACTGCTCAATAAGACATTGAAGGAGTTCACTCTTTCTGATGTGAATTTAGAAATTTTTTTTTCTTGCTTGAATTTTATATCTTATTGTTAGTAGTATTTGATTTAGTCCTAAAAACCAAATTGCATATTTCCATCATTATGATGACTATTTCCTTTAGTATACTTTTTCCCATGAATAAATATGCTACTCTAAGTATATTTATTATGTAAAGTTTCATTTTAAGTATTTGTAGGTGAAAAGTTTTGGAGAAAAAGAAACTGTGTAGGTACAAGTAATTGAATTAAAGAACTTTAAACATGGAGTTGCTTTAACTCTTGTTAATACTTTACATGGAAATAAAAAAGTAAAACCAGGAGAAAGTCTTTTTTGAATATTTATTTGTGCTCAGTTTTCTTTTCAAATGTTATCTTTTTATTAAGACTTAATTGTTTTCCCTGAGGTGGAGGGAGATGAAGTACGTTATTTATATGTATATCCATAAGATTTTTATTCTCTGCCACCTTTATCTAAAACAAAATATAAAGTTAAGTCAAATCCTTTGATATATTTTATTTGCTTAATAATGTAAAGAAATCACTCTTGCTTCAATAAACATTTTTTTTTTTTTTTCTTTTGGTACCAGGGTTTGAACTTAGGGGCACTCAACTGCTGAGCCACATCCCCAGCCCTATTTTGTATTTTATTAGAGACAGAGTCTCACTGAGTTGTTTTGTGCCTTGCTTTTTGCTGAGGCTGGCTTTAACTCGAAATTCTCCTGTCTCCGCCTCCCGAGCTGCTGGGATTATAGGTGTGTGCCACACCCAGCTTCAATAAACATTTTTATTTTTATTTTGCAGTTCATTTCTGTGTGATGTGACCATGAAATCAGTGGATGGAAAGGAATTTCCTTGTCATAAATGTGTTCTTTGTGCTAGACTTGGTAGGTATATTTTTTGTTAACTGCTGATTTATTTGTTTTAGTCTTGTTTCACTATTCTAATTACATCAAACTTTTTCCCTTTCAGAATATTTTCATAGTATGCTGAGCAGCTCGTGGATTGAGGTAAGACTTAAATAGAAAGCACCTAGGCAAATAACTAAAATTCTTTACACTTAGAAGTTAGAATTGATGATAAAAGGCTTTTGAAATCAAAATAGTCTTGTTTTTATCTAGAAATGTGTTAGGAATGCTAGTGTGTTCCTTATTTTCTGAAATTTTCTTTGTTCATTTTTTGTTATTTTAATATTGAATGTAATTTTAGCTTTGTGTTTTATAGATTTATTTTTTGCTTTTAATGTGATTTCTTATCCAGAGTTTTTCATATCAAATAACTCAAGTTAGAATATAGTCGTACTTTATTTTAAACTTTACAATAATGTTTAAAATTAATTGTTTTCCTTTATTTTATCTTAATTTACCTAGGCTTCCAGTTGTGCAGCTCTGGAAATGGCAATACATTCTGACATACTGAAGATTATTTTGGACTACCTCTATACTGATGAAGCTGTGGTGATAACAGGTACTTTTAGAAAATTTTAGATTGTGTATAATAAAATAATGATAAAATAAACATGAGACTTAATTTTGACACTACTTTAAATAAGCTGTCATTAGAGGCTTAATTTAAAATAAGCAGTAGGATGATTACTAACAGTGAAAGTACAGAAAGAGTTTTCAATATCCCTTGAACTCTTTGAGACTTGTATGTAATATTGAGTGGTGTGCCGCAGTCTGGCTGGGCACAAAATCACGAGCCACCACACAGCTTGTAGATTCAAACAGCAACTCTTTATTCCCGAACTCACACCAGCCCTCTACAATCACGTTCTGGGGAAATCCACGTTCTCTGCCCAAATCCACCCCCACTGGGCTTCTGTCTCCCAAAAAATACTGTCTGAATCCCGTGAGAATTCAAGGGGAACTCAGGCAGCAGGATATGCCCTGTTCCCAGCAGGAATAACCTTAAACCTGGAACCACCCTAAACCCGGATAGTCCTAAACCTGATAGTCCTAAACCGGGAACACCCTAAACCCGGATCTGCCCTGGTCCTTGAGCAAGGTCACCTTAGATGCAATGTCACTGCAAAATGTCCTATTTCCAAGAGTCCTTCCACTAAGCAACATGGGGTACGCTGGCAAGGAAGTTGTCATACCTACTTGGCTAATGGCTCCCAGCAGTGGTGTATGGATTGAGGTCAAGACTTAAATAGAAAACACCTAGGCTTTCTATTATATTTAGCAGTTCCATTTTCAGCTACTCTACAATTGAGATGAATGGAGAACAGGGAATATAGTTTTGTCAAATTCCTTACTTAAGTTGTTTCTTGCCTATTTCCCCCCTTGTAATAACACACCAGAAGTGAAAGAAGTAGATGAAGAATTGAGCCAAAATTTATGAAGAGACTACATTTATATGCTTTGTCAGGCAAGACACCATATTTTAGTTGTACAACATCAGGTTTCTTTAGTTGTTGGAGTGGTATTGAGTGTTCTGTGATATTATTTTACCATTGTTTTTTAGCCTTAGCTGTATATTAAGGATAAAAAATTTAAAGTTTCTGCCTTTATTTTTAAGACACCTACAATCTAATGTAAAAAACGACTACATAAGAAAACAAGTATAACTAAACAGAGTAACCCTCTAAAAAATGGGTACATTTTTGAGAAACTAGCGTCTAAATATATGTGGGGAAATCTGAACAGTGTTTGTAAAGGAGGTAGTATTTAACTGAGAACAAATTTTCTAAAGATTTGTGTACTTTAAGAGGATAGTGGAAACATTGGTACTTTTCCTCTATTTCTGTCATTTTTTAAAAAAAATTATTATATACCATAAAGTTTATTCTTCTAAAGTGTATGATTAAATGGTTTTTAGTATATTTCAAAATGGTATAGCTCAGCATTTTCTAATTCTAGTGCATTTTCCTTACTCTAATAAAGAAACCTTTTACCCAGTAAGCAAATACTTTCCACTCATCCACCTTCTGGTCCCTGGTAATGACTAATATACTTTTTTTCTTTCTCTATGCCTTTTCTGCACATTGCATAAAAATAAAATGAAACATTATGTGCCCTTTTGTGTTTAACTTCTCTTACTTAGCATTATGTTTTCAATTATTATGTTATAGCATATACTAGCACATCATATTTTCTATTGCCAAATAATATCCTTTTTGTAGATATACCACATTTTATTTATTCATTCATCAATTGATGGACATTTGAGATATTTTCACTTTTTAGCTATAAGGAATTATTTTTGTGGGCTTGTGTTTTTGTTGTTTTTAAGCCATATACCTAGAAGTTAAAGCGCTGGGTCATATAGTAACTCTTAAGTTAGTTTTTAGGAACTGCTGAACTTTAAAAAGGGACTGTTTTAACTTTCTTACTGGCAGTGCACATTAAAGTTCCATTTTCTCCACATCCTTCCGATACTCTTTAATGTTTGTTTTCTTGTAACTTCTAGTGGGTGTAAAGTAGTATAACATTGTGATTTTGTTTTGCATTTCTCCAGTGATGTTGAACATCTTTTCATGTGTTTTATGACCAAATGTGTATCATCTTTGAAAAATGTTTAAAAATTTGGGTCATTTTTATTTCAATTAGTTGGGGTTTTTTTTTTTTTTTTTTTTTTTGGTGCCAGGGATTAAACCCAGGGGCACTTAACCACTGAGTCACATCCCAACCCTTTTTACTTTTTATTTAGAGACAGGCTCTCACTTAGATGCCTAGGGACTCACTAAGTTGCTGAGGCTGGTTTTGAACTTGTGATCCTACTGCCTTAGCCTCCCGAGTTGCTGGGATTATAGGCTTGCACCACTGTGCCTTGCTTGTTTTTTATTATGTTGTAAAAGTTCTTAAATACCCTGGGTACAAGTCGATTATCATATGTATATATTTTTCTTGTTCTCTGGGTTATATTTTCATTTTCTTTATAGGGTCTTTTAAAATATAAAAGTTTTAGTTTTGTTGAAGTCCAGATTACCTATTTTTACTTGCTGCTCATGCTTTTGTTGTCATATTGAGAATCCATTGTCAAAGCTGAGGTCATGACAATTACTTCCTGTATTTTCCTCTTAAGAGGAAATCATGTCGCTCACATTAGAGTCTTTGATTAATTTTGCTTAATTATTCCCCCAGCTGTATTGAGGTATAATTCACAAATATGAATTGTGTATATTCAGATATACAAGGTAATGTTTTGACATATGTATTACTTGTGAAATGATTATCATAATTAAACTAATTAATATATGTATCACCTTAAATAGTTAATTGTTTTTTTTGGTGGGGGCAAGAATGCTTAAGATCTCTCTTGGCAAATTTCAAGTGTACAACACGTTATTATTAACAAACTTGTCACCTAGCAGACCAATAAGTCTCTAGAACTTACTTGTTTGTAGTACAATGTGCAATGTTCTGCATTTCTCCCATCCCTGGCCCTAGGTAACCACTTTTGTAATTGAGTTAGTTATTTTTTTTGTGTTGTGGGTTAAGGGTCCAACTTCCTTCTTTTACATGTGTTTATCTAGTTGCTGTAGTATCATCTGTTAAACAGGTTTTTATTTCCCCATTGAATTGTTTTGGCACTTTCTTCAAAAATCAGTTGATTGTAAATGTAAGATTTTATTTCTTGTTTCTCAGTTCTGTTCCATTGATATATTTGTGTCTTTTGGCCAGTACCACACTGTCTAAATAACCATTGCTGTGTAATAAGTTTTGAAGGTGAGAAATGTGAGTCCTCCTCCTTTATTCTGTTTCAAGATGTTTTGGATCCTGACATTTTCATATGAATTTTAGGATTAGTTTGTCAATTTCTGCAAAATAGGTAGCTGTGGTTTTAATAGTGATGGTGATGAATGTGTAAATCAGTTTGAAGATTCTTACCATCAACCATGGTTGTCTTTCCATTTTTTGTCTTTAATTTTTGTCAGTGATTTTTAAGATAGCTTTCAATGTACAAGCCTTGTTTTTCCTTTATTAAAATTATCCCCAAGTATTCTTTTTCCTGCTACTTTTAAATTGAAATGATTTCAAATTTTCATTTTTGGATTGTTCTTTGCTACTGCTTAAGATAGCAATTGGATTCTTTCACTAGTTCTGTTAGTTTTAAGTGGATTTCTTAGGATTTCCTTTATACAATATCATGTTATCTGCAAATAGAGATGGTTTTACTTCTTCCTTTATAATCTGGATGCCTTTTGTTTCTTTTTCCTGCCTATCGACTCTGACTATAAGAACTTCTTTTACAGTGTTGTGTGGAGTCTATCCTTGTGTTGTTCCTAATCTTAGGAGGAAAGAATTGAGTCAATATTAGTTAGTTAGTTGTAGGATTTTTTATTTTTATTTTTCTTGGTAATTGTTTATCAAGTTGGGGAAGATTTTTCTATTCCTGGTTTGAGTGTTTTTATCATGAAAGGGAATCAGTCTTCATTAAATGCTTTTCTGTATCTCTTGAGATGATTTAAATCACTTTTTCTGTCCTTTAGTTCCATTTTTGTTCATTATATTGGTTGATTTTTATATGTAGAATCTTTCATTCTGGGAATATTCTACACTTGATCTTAGCCAAAAGGCCGAGAAGCGATAATCATTCTGGGAATATTCTACTTAATCATGTGTAATTCTTTTTTATGTTACTGGATTCAGTTTAGTATTTTTTGTATCTATAATCATAAAATGGATATTAGTCTTAGTTTTCCTGTAATGTTTCTGTTTGGCTTTAGTATCAGGACATTGTTGACATCATTGAATGAGATGGAATTTGTTCTAACATACTTTTGAAGAATTTGGGGACCATTGGTGTTAAACATTTGGCCAAATTTGTCAATGAAGCAATCTGATCCTGCACTTTTCATTGTACAAAGATTTTTAATTACTAATTTAATCCCTTTATTTATTGTAGATCTGCTCAGTTTTATATTGAATCAATTTAAGTAATGTGTGTTCTACAGATTTGTTCATTTTATCTGGATTTTTGCTTTGTTAGCATACAAATCTGTTCATAGTTTGTAGTGTCTGTTAACCTTTTTTACTTCTGGTTGGTTTTATCAAGTTACTTTTTTCTTTCTTGATTTTGGTAATTAAAGTCTTCTCTCTAGTTTTTTATTGATCATTTTCCTAAAGATTTGTCAATTTTATGATTTTTTTTTCATAAAATAACTTTGAGTTTTGTTTGTATACCTTGTTTTTTTGTTCTTGTTTTGTTGATTCCAGCCTAATTTTTATCATTGTTTTCTTTCTGCTTGCTCTGTGTTGGCTTATTCTTTTCTGTAGTTTCTTAAAATGGAAGTAGACTATTGGTTGGAGATCTTTCTTCTTCTTTATTACTGCCCCCTTTTGTGTCAAATGGATATTTTCTCCTTTGCTTTTGAAATGCTCTTGTAGAAGTAATTTTTTAATGGTTACTCTGGGGACTGTAATTAATATCATAAGTTAAAACAATCCTGTTCGTATTAATGCTAACTTAATTTCAGTATCATTTAAAAAATGTTGTTTCTTTATAGCACCTTTCCTTCCTACTCCTTTGTGCTATTTGTCATTCATATTATACCTTTGTATATTACATGCCCATCAACATGTATTTGTTATTGTTTTATGCAGTTGTAAAAAAAAGGTTAAGAAGAAGAATACATTTATATTTTTATACTATCTTTTTTACTTATTTGTGTAGTTAGGTTTATGGATGTTCTTGATGGATTTGAATTATCTTTGAAGTGCCCTTTTAGTTCCGTTTGAAGTTCTACTTTTAGCATTTCTTGTTAGAGCAGATTAACTAGAGACAAATTCTCCTTTTTTGTTATTAATCTGTGAACATCTCAATTTCTTCATTCTTGAAGGATAGTTTTGCTAGATAATAGAATTCTTGGTGATGGTCTTTTTGTTTTACTATTATTAATATGCCATCCCATTGCTTTCTCATGTCTTATCAGATCTTAATCTCATTGAGGATCCCTAACACATGATTAGTTGTTTCTCTCCTGCTGATCTCAAGATTTTCTTTAGTTTCCAACAGTTTATTGTATCTAGATGTGAATACCTTTGAATTTACCTTACTTGGAGTTTGTGTGCTTTTTGGATATGCAGATATATTTTTTAAAAAAATCAAATTTGAAAAGTTTTCAGTTATTATTACTTAATATTCTTTTTTTCCTTTCTCTCATTTTTTCCTTCTGGAACTTTCATTTGTATCTTGGTATGCATAGTAGATCTCTATAAGGACTTTTGGGTTTTGCTCATTTTTCTTTCTGTTCCTTACATGAGGTAATCTCAACTGACCTTTAACTTCTCTTTAATGATATTCTAGTTTTAACCCTAACATTGTCTTCATTCTTTAATTTTTTAAGACAGGGTTTCTTTTAGTTCTTCAGACATATTTAAAATAGGTGATTTAAAGTCTTATCTAGTAAATCTGAAGTCTTCCTCAGCAACAGTTTCTTCTGCCTACTTTTTTTGTGTGTGTGTGCATAGGTTATACTTGAATTTTTTTCATTTCATCTTTCATAAAGTTTTGTTGTTGAAAATTGGACTTTAAATAATATAGTGTAGCAGCTGTGGAGATCCAGATTCTTCCCTCATCCACAGGTTTTTTTTTTTTTTTTTCCAACAACTTTCCTGAACTAATTCTGTAATTTCTTTATTCATCCTTTGTGAACACTGAAATGACTGCTTGGTTAGGTTAGTGATCAGCTAATTATTTGAGAGACATTTCTGTAAATGCCTGGAAATAATAAATCTTCTCACTTTTGTGTGTTGGGGACTTGTTGTCATTATTCTGGCAGGCAGTTTACAACTCAATTTGTTTCCTTTTGTGCACAGTCTCAGTGTAAGCCAGAGGTAAGAGGTAGGGCCTTAAAAAGTCTTTGCTGGGTATGTTTTTAGCCCTCTACTTGTGTATAGCTAGATTCACAGGAATATTTTGGAAGTTTTCAAAACCTCCTATAGACATCTGTATTGGTTTGCTTAGGCTGCCAAACCATACCAAACAAACTGAGTGACTTAAGTTACATATAGTAATTTTCTCATGGTTTTGGAAGCTAGATATTCTAGAGCATGTTCTGGCAACATTGGTTTCTGATAAGAGCTCCTTTCTAGATTTGCACATATTGCCTCTTGCTATGTTTTCACAAGGCCATTCCTTAATGCATATGTGTGGAAAGAGAGTAAGCAAGGTCTCTGTGATCTCCTCTTAGAGGTATACTAATCCTGTTGAGTTAGGGCTCCAACCTTATAGCCTCATTTAATCTTAATTACTTCCATAGAATCCCTATTTTCAAATACAACACTGGGGATTAGGATGTCAACATATGAATTTTGAGGGGCATTATAAGCATTTTGTCTAACAACATTCTATCCTCTAGTATTTCTTTTTAAGGTTTTTTTTCTATCTGCTGCTTGTTTGTTCCAACTGTCATCTTAGGCAGACTCAGTGTTAAAATGATTACTGCTAATTATTTTCTTTTTTTTTTTTTTGTATTTTTTTTTAAAAGAGAGAGAGAAGGAGAGAGAGAGTGAGAGAGAGAGAGAGAGTGAGAGAGAGAGAATTTTTAGTATTTATTTTTTAGTTTTCAGCGGACACAACATCTTTGTTTTTGTATGTGGTGCTGAGGATTGGAACCGGGCCGCATGCATGCCAGGCGAGCGCGCTACCGCTTGAGCCACATCCCCAGCCCCACTGCTAATTATTTTCAATAAAGGAAAATGTTGGTCTCATTAGGGAAGCTTTGAGTTAGGTCAAATAAAGACAAGTTATTCTAGTTGAATTTTAAGGGAAGAGCTGACAGGTCAAAATATTGATAGTTCTTTGATAATATTACTTCATAACCACTTTTGTTTTCTCCAGCAGCTACTAGGCTGCTCATTTTCACGGTAATTGTGGATCTATTGGTTTTCAGTCCAGGTTGAGTATCATTTATCCAAAATGTTTGGGACTGTATGTGCTCTTTATTTATAGTCTCAAAATTTTTGGAATATTTCTGTATTGTAATGAGTTATCTTTTGAGATGGGACCAAAATCTAAACCTAAAATTCACTTATGTTTTGATCATACCTATTACAGATAGCCTGAAAATAACTTTACACAATGTTTTTAGTCTGTTTCTGTTTTGACTGTGACCTGTCTCATGAGGTCATGTGTGGTATTTTCAACTTTTGGTCCCTTATAAGTACTCAAAAAGATTTGGATTTTGGATTTTGAATAGGGATGCTTAACCTGTTATACCATGTAGAAAAGGAGAGGAGGGATTGAATAGGAAAAGCTACAATATCCCAAATGTCACTGTTCTTGGAAAAAATTCAGTCACTTTTCTTGAATAAACATACCCCCAAATTACTGCAAGCCTTTGATTTCTAGATAAAGTTGATTTAGATAATTATTGGGAGTCTTCTCATTGCTTTTATGGAGGAAAGGATTTCTAAAAGTTCTTAGATTATCATTCACAATGACCTTCCCTCCTCCATTTTTAAAATCCATTTGCTATTCCTTCCTATTCCTTTTTTTCCCCCTATGTTGTTAGATTATTTTTTCTTTTTCTTCCTTCCCCTTTTCTCCCTGTTTCTGTTGTTACTTGGCTGTCGCCTAGGAGCATTTTATAGACTATTGGTAGTATTTAGACAGGGTCTTGCTAAGTTGCTGAGGGTCTTGATTCGTTGTTGAGGCTAGCCTTGAACTTGGAATCTTCCTTGCCTCAGCCTCCTGAGTTTCTGGTATTATAGGCTTGCATCACTGCACCTGGCAGGTGTTTTTAAAAGTGTTGTTAAATGATAAATTTATTTTAAATATGAGCAGAGATTTGACTTTCTCTAACAACATAGGAGATTGTAAACAAGTCAGCTATTTGGTAGCCTTCTAGTAGTAGTTGAACATTTTATGGTCTCATGTGAGCCAAGGCATTTTGGTGTATTTTTTCAGCTTTCAACCTAAAACTTTGAAATATTTCAATCTATTTACTTTTTATTTTAATTCTTATTCCAACGTGTGGAAAGTAATCATGTTTCTCTTTCCTAATGTCTTATTTACATCACTTTTTCTCCTAGGAAGGTATAATTGTTATATCTTAACAGAGTAATGCTTGTTTTCTTTTTCTTTTTAGAATGTCAAAATGTGGATTTTATTTGTAGTGTTCTTGTGGTAGCTGATCAGCTTCTTATAACTCGATTGAAAGAGATTTGTGAAGTAGCATTAACTGAAAAACGTGAGTAATTTTAAATTAGAATATTAATATGTTTTCAGATTGACGAATAACTATGACTCTTTATGTTTACAGTAAAATACTTCATTTTTTTGTTCCTTTAAAAGTGTCAAAACTTTATTACATGTATAAGTATATTCTTATCTCAGAAATATGTGATAATATGCATATCTTTGAATTGAAATATGATGTTAATTTTTATTGCAATGTCATAAAATCATGAATAATAATGTCATTTATTTTGGAATTTCAGGAATAAGAATTTGAAAGCTAAATTTTCTTTTTTTGCTACTTTGCTGGTCTTGGGTATAGTTTTTAGCTATTCATTTTCTACTGAAGGTGGAAGTTTTACATGATTCTTCCATTAATGTATCTCAACCAATTTCATCTCTCAAACTTTTTTCTATCCATTATTTCAGTTAATTTCATGACTTTTCCTGAATACTCCAACTTTGAAATTCCAAATTATTTGTAATTTGTCCCTTATGCCCAGATTCTTTAGCTATCAAAGCTGATTACATTTCCCTCACCTTTTGATTCTCACTGTCACTATGCTAGTTGAGGTCACTGTTAATCATCCCTTCTGTGTAGTATTCTAGTAGTCTTTAAAATGCTTCTCTCCCTTCTACTTTCTTTAATCTTTGTATAGAAAGTAACAATGTTTTTTCTTTGTTTAGATATTTTTAATTGCTTTCTCTAGAATGCAGATTGAATTTTCTTAGCCTGATATGCAAGATTTTATTACTTTCTAAAATCTTGTATTTGTTTTGCTTTATTGATGCTTTGGTAGTATGGAGGTAGTTAAATTTTTCTACTTTGTACTTGCTAGGAGTTTTCTTAGCCTTGTTGTTCTTATTTGTTCACTTTCCTTGAGCACCGTGGACCATCTTCTCCTTGGTTATAAAAAAAGAGAACAATAGCCTTGATCTTTTTTTAATAGTAAGAAAAGAAAAAACATTAAAATAAAGAACACAACATATAGTAGGTATAAGATATACATATAGGTGATATTTTCACTTGTTCAGTTGACTTTCCTGAACTTCCTTGGCTATTCTGCATAGTTTCCTTTATTAATTCTTTAATACTCCTAGAACCTAGCAAAAGAAGTGTTCCATAGAAGTTTGGTCTTTGATTATTGGTCAATCTTTGTTCCCAAATAAATAATTTTAGAGAAGTTTTTATATGATCCAATTTTATTATTTATGAGAGATGTGAGATGTTTTTATCATTAGCTGAAAGGTTAGTCCGGTAAGGTAGAGACCTTTATTGACTGCCATTTCAATTTTTGAGAGTATAACAGAGAAAGAATTAAAAAAGCATGGAAGAGGCCATGTGTAGAAAGCACTTGTGTTCATGTGTTGGCTGCGGATCAGGGTAACTAAGAAAAAGATAGAGAAGTTCAGGAAGCTAACGTTATATGCTACATAGGTAGAATATCTTAGCAAAATAGGGTTCTTCATACATCAAGTTCCTAGCATTATAACTATCCAGAGTCTTTCACAGAATATATTAAATTCAGCACTAGCATGAATAAGGTAAGATTTAGATGCATTTTCTAAATGTATACATATATTCTGATAGATTAATCAACTTAGTGCATTTTACAGAATTATTTCGTCAGTTCCTCTTAGTCTTAATATCATTTTTACTTTTATAGAAGACAGAATGACTACTCTGCTATGCAAATGAAAAGGAAAGTTGTTCATTAGTGAAAGTTAATAATAAAAAATTATTTGGTGGAAGATTGTCAATTCTTATATATTTGCTTTTTGGTGGCACCCAGTGTTTCTTTTATATTTTGTTTTGCTTAAAATTTTCATTTGTGTGTGTTTTTCCTTATAACCAATCTTTTGAAATTACTTTTGCATATTTGGGTGGAAGTTAAATTCTGTATTTTGCCCCAGAAAAAATTTTTGTATTTTTGGTAAAACAGAATAACCATTGTTTCCTTTGTTTTGAATGTTGAAAGCTTACAAACTTAAGTGTGTTTATTTGTTTGTAGTAGCATGCCTTTCATGTAATTTTGTAAATCTTTTCTTTCTTTGTAGTTACCCTTAAGAATGCTGCTATGCTTCTGGAATTTGCGGCATTGTATAATGCTGAACAATTGAAACTGTCTTGTTTACAGTTCATAGGACTGAATATGGCAGCTTTACTAGAAGCAAGGTTAGTTCTGTGTACATATTCTATGACTTTTGCAAAAATGGGTGTTTATATATAATAGTAGATATGTTAGTAATTTAAAAGTGAATAATAATATTTACTTGGAAATTTGAAGTAAACAAATTTGAAAATGCTAATGAGTTAGGAGTCAACATTTTTGAATTAGGGGGATTTGGAAATTTGTCAACTTTTTAGCAATTTTTTATTGAAAAAAATTAATATTTTTTAAAAAATACAAGGTCAAAATATTTTTTTTCTTATTATAAAAATCAGTAATGGGGAAAATGAAGCTTTTCCTAGGGAACATAGTTACTTAAGTTTAGAAGCCATATTTTTAGTTTTAGTTTAAAGCTTTATCATCTAGTTTCAATAGTACTGATAATAAAAACTAATACTTAGTGTCTCCTGTGTACTAGGAAGTTTTCCAAATGTGTTACATAGATTAATTCATTTTATTTTCACAAAAATCTTATAAGTAGATTTTGTTAATATCCTTAAGTTGCAAAAGCGAAAACAAAGGCAATATTTTTTCTTTTATTTTTGGGAAAGAATTGAAAATTTAGATGTATATACTTGTTATAAATGATTTCAACTTTTTAATGACTTAGTTTTCAAACTCAGAATGATCTTAAATTAATTCAAAATCATGATTAATGAAACATTCTAAAACATGATTGAAATACAGTGTTTTGGTTTATGGAAGCACATCACAAAGAGATTATTAACAATTTCCCGGTAGGGTTCAGTTTAGAGAAAATTCTTTTGCTATTTCAGTTTTTATTAGTTTGTGGAAAATGCTTTTGAATGCACATTAATGTTTTGAGATACTAGACAATGTCATTTTAAAATGCATTTGATATCCAAGTGTCAGAACCTAGCTAGAGTTTCAAGCTAAATTTAATTCCATTGCTGACATTACATTAGTAGTTCTCTTCATAGCAGTTTATTAATCTGTATCTCCAAATTAAGCTCATTCTGTTTGTCAACCAAAAAAAAATAAATATATATATAACATACATCAACTCTGTCTAAATTATTATATTGGAAAATGGTGTCAATATCTTTCAGCTATTTCAGCTACTAGGTTAAGACAGATGTGTCAACTGAGCCACTTAAGGACAATACCTGCTATGGTGATATCTCTACTTACATAACTTAACATGAGGAGATGCACACCTTGCATTAAAACAAAGATTTGTGCAAAATTAACTGTTCTTTGTCAAACATGTATTTGCTAGAAATATAAATAGTATGTGAAGAGATTTAGGAAACTGAGGGCTGCACCAGAATTGACTTAGCATCACAGATTAATGCATTGTATATCTCCAAAGTGTTGACAACTGATAGGGTATATACAAGTTATTTATTTCTGATTGTAGAAAAAAATTTTTTTAAAAGAGTGTTTGTATTAGAATGTAAACTTTGATTTAAATTTTCACTGCTATCTTAAAATACCTGTTTGAAACTTGAGAGGTCCTTGAGATTTGTCTTAAGCAAAAGTGAGTTGCTCAGATTATACAGTTAATTGGTATAAGTGATAATTCTTGATAGAATGGATTCTATCAATATAGTACTCCTTTTGTAGTTAATTATAATTTCTGGAAAATGAAGGTTGTAAAATGAGTATTTGCTATTTTGTAGTGATAGAAACGATTCTTTGTACATTTATTCATAACAGTTACTTGAGATTTATTGATATTTGTATAATATGTTTGTTGTTTACTTAAGATATATAATACATAACTGCACCCATTTCCAAAAAGAATCTGTAGAGGCTAGTACATATAAAGCTTGAAAAATAACTTTATTACTTATTTGGCGATATGTAGATGTACTTGGTAAGTATTAAGTCATTTGAGTCTTAAGATAAAATTATACTTCCTATCTTTTAGGTCTCTTGATGTTTTAAGTGATGATGTTTTGAAGGATCTTTCTGTATTTTACAGAAAAATGGTAAGATTTATGTTTTTCCATCGAAGATTTTAGTGGCTGTAATATTACCATCTAAAACAGTATATTAGGTTACACTTCTTAATGAAATAATTTTCTAAGTAATTCTCTTTAGGATCTTTTAGAAATATTGAAAAGAAACCAGTCAGAACTTCTGGAAGTAAAAGACATAGTCAATCAAATTAAAAATTTACTTGAAAGCATCACCAACAGTTTAGATTGCATAGAAAATAGAACTTCAGCACTTGAAGACAGAACCTCAAGCCTGAAGAAAGGATACTTGAATTTGAGTAGAATACCATAAAGGGAAAAAAAAAAAAAAGAACACGATCCGAACACACAGGAGATTTGGGACAACATCAAGAGACCAAACCTGAGAATCACTGGGTTAATGGAGAACATGGAGATACAAGCTAAAGGCCTTAAGAACATTATTAATGAGGTAGTCACAGAAGACTTTCCCAATATCAGAAAGGAGATAGACATCCACATACAAGAAACAAACAGAACCCCAAAAAGACCTGATGAAGAGAAGTTCTCCAAGATGCATCATAATTAGAATGCCTACCATAATATTAAAAGCTACAAGAGAGAAACATCAGTTCACATTTAGAGGCAAACTAAGAAGGCTCACTTCTGACTTCTCATCTCATTCCAGGAGGGTTTGGAATGAGATATTCCAAACTCTAAAAACAATTATCAATTGAGTTTGCTATACTCCGAATAACTCCCTTTCATATTCAGTGGGTAAATAAAATTTTCCATTACAAGGATAAACTAAAAGAATTCATGACAACCAAGCCAGCACTACATAGAATTCTCCAAGGTAAACTGCTCATAGAGAAAGCCAAAACAAATCCTAACACTCCCAAATAGATGATGATTAATAGAAGACTAATCATCTAAATGAGAATCAAGATAGAATTAAACATAAGAAGAAGTCAAAATGGCAATAAACCACATATCCATAATAAGAGTGAATATAAATGGTTTCAACACCTTAATTAAAATATATAGGTTAGCAGAATGGGTCAAAAAGCAAGAGCCAACTGTATGCTGTCTACAACAGACTTACAGGTAAAAGGATGAAAAAGATATTGTATGTGAATGGAGTTTGTAAACAAGTTAGAGTAGCTAGGCTCCTATTTTAAAAGATGCAAAAATTAATCAAAGGAGACACAGGGGCTGATAATGGGAATAAGCCAGTAAGAAGATATAACAATAATATGTATATGTACGCCAAATGTCAATACACTCAATTATATTAAAAAATGCTTGATATTAAATTCTTGATAGACCCTAATATAATAATATTGGTTGTTTCATTACATTCCTGTTACCAATAGACAGGTCATCAAAGCATAAAATCAATAAAGATGTATCCAACCTAAGTACTACTATAAATCAAATGGACCTAGTAGATATCTACAGAATATTTCACCCCCAAACAGCTGAATTTGCCTTCTCAGCAGCTCATGGAATATTTTCCAAAATAGACCATATTCTAGGTTACAATATAAGTCTTAGCAAATACAAAGAAATTGATTTAATCTTATGCATCCTGTCAGAACCTAATGGAATGAAACTAGAGATCAACAGCAAGAAAAATAATAGAAAACACATAAACACATGGAGATTAAACAATACTATTTTAAGTGAAGAATGGATAGAAGAAGAAATAAGAGGAGAAATTCTTATAAACAAATAAAAACAAAATACAACATGTCGAAATATCTGGGACAATATGAAACTGGTATCAAGAGGAAAATTTATTGCATTGAATGCCTACATCATAAAAATTAGAGTCCAATAATAAGCATATGTACTACCTTAAGAAAAAACAAACCTCCAAATCAATAAAAGATAAGAAATAATATAAATCAGAGCAGAAATTAATGAAATCAGGCATAAAAGAATAATACACAGGATCAATGCAAAAAATAATTGCTTCTTCAAAAAGATAAATAAGATTGATAAACTCTTAGCCAAACTAACCTAAAGAAAGAAAATACTCAAATCAACAAAATTAGAGATGAAAAAAGAGATATCACCACATGCACATCTGAAATTCAAAGGATCATTGGAAACTTGAAAATTTATACTCCAATAAACTGAAAAATCTAGAAGACATTGACAAATTTCTAGGCACTTATGACCTACCCAGATTGAATCAAGTAATGAAATTGAAACTGCAATTAAAAGCCTATCAAAAAAGAAAAGCACAGGGCCAGCAGAGTTCCACCAGATCTTTAAAGAGGAGCTAACACTGGAGTTTCTCAAATTGTTCCATGAAATTGAAAGAGAAGGAACATTGCTGATTACATTCTGTGATGGTAATACAACCCTCATACTAAAATTAAAGACACATTTAGGAAAGAACCACAGATCTATCTCCCTGATGAACACAAATGCAAAAATCCTTAATTAAATATCAGGAAACTGCATTCAAAAACATATTAATAGGATAATATACCATGACTAAGTGGGCTTCATTCCAAGGTTGCAAGTTTACTTCAACATATGCAAATTAATATAATTCACTGCATAAATAGAATTTAGGACAAGAACCATACTATCATCTTAATAAACACAGGAAAGGTCTTTGATAAAATACAGCTACCATTCATGTAAAAAATACTGGAGAAACTAGGGATAGAAGGAAGGTACTTACCTAACATTATAAAAGCCATATATGATAAACCCAAAGCCAACAGTATACTGAATGGAGAAGAACTAAAGGTTTTCCTCTAAAATCAGGAATAAGACCAAGATGTCCACTCTCACCATTTCTATTTAATATAATACTTGAACCTCTAGCCAGAGCAATCCGTCAAGGGAAGGATATTAAAGATAAAAAAATAGGAAAAGAGGAAGTCAAACTGTCACTGTTTGCTGATAACATGATAGTATATATAGAAGACCCCAAAAAAGTCCACAAGACTCCTAGAGCTGATAAATGAATTTAGCAGAGTAGCAGGATACCAGATCAGCACTGAAATCAGTAGCTTTTCTATACTCCCAACAGTGACTCAGTGGAGAAAGAAATCAGGAAAATCATCCCCTTAACGTTATCCTAAAAAATAAAAACACAAAAATCTAGGAATTAATGAAAACTATAGAACACTGAAGAAAGAAATTGAAGACCTCAGAAGGTGTTCTCAGATAGGCAGAATTAATATTGTCAAGATGGTCATACTTCCAAAAGTATAGATTCAATGTCAATCCCACAAAATACCAGTGACATTTCTCACAGAACTAGAAAAAATAATCCTTAAATTTATTTGGAAGAATAAGAGACTGAGAATAGCCAAAGGAATTGTGAATAAGAAAGGTGGTACAGGAGGCATCACAATACCCCATCTCAAATTATACTATAGAGCTGTAGTAGCAAAAAAACGGCATAGTATCGCCATTGAGGTAGATATGAAGTCCAGTGGAATAGAAGACTCAGAAACAAATCCACATATAGCCATCTGATACTTGACAAAAAACATATGTTGGAGAAAAGATAGCCATTTAGACAAATGATACTGTGAAAACTGGATATTTATATGTAGAGAAATGAAATTAAATCCCTATCTTTCTTTTTGCTTTACGATTCTTAATACACACATATACCACAATTTTTCATATAGCTGTTTGTATATAAAGTATGTTGACACTAAATCCCTATCTTTCATTTGGCACAAATCAAAATATTTCCAAGACTAAGGAATTAGATCAGAAACTGTGGAACTGCCAGAAGAAAACATAGGGTCTAAGCACTCCATCATATAGATGCAGGCACTGATTTCCCCAACAAGACCCCTAAAGCTTAATGAATAAAACCAAGAATTAATAAGTGGGATGTCATCTAATTAAAAGCTTCTGCGCAGCAAAGAAGATAATTAAGAGAGTGAAGCAAGAGCCTATAGAATGGAAAAAGTCTTTGCCAGCTACTAACTCTGACAGGGGATTAATATCTAGAATATATAAAGAACTCAAACAGCCCAGTGCTAATAAAAGCAAATAACCCAGTCAATAAATAATCAAAAGAACTAAACAGAAATTTCTCAAAAGAAGAAACACAAATGGCCAACAAATACATGGAAAAAATGTTCTTATTTAGCAATCAAGGAGATGCAAATCAAACCTACACTAAGGTTTCATCTTACTGTAGGCAGAATGGCAATTATCAAGAACATGAATGATAATAAATGTTGGTAAGGTTGTGGGGGGAAAAGGTACACTCATACATTATTGGTGAGACTGCACATTAGTATAATTTGGAAAGTATTATGGATATTCCTCAAAAAATTGGGAATGGAACCACCATATTACCCAGCTATCCCAATCCTCAGTATTTATTCAAATGCACAAAAAGCAACTACTGTGGTGATATGGATACTAAATGTTTATAGCAACAGGCAATTTATGGAATCAACCCAGATGCCTGTTAATAGATGAATGGTTGAAGAAAATATGGCATATTTACACAGTGGAATTCCCAAAATGAAGAATAAAATAGCATTACTAGCATTTGCTAGTAAGTGGATAGAAATGAAGAAAACCATGCTAAGCGAAATAAGCTAGACTCAGAAAATCAAGGGTTTAATGTTTTCTCTCGTGGACGCTAAAGCAAAATGAGGAAAAGAAGGCAGTGGGGTAGGAAGATCAGATTTCATAAAGATGCAAGGAAGATCAGTGGAGTAGAAATGGAGAATGAGAAGGAGGAAGTAAGGAAGGAAAAGAGAAATATGGAATGAATCTAACAGAATGATAATAAATATCATATATGGGGAAAGAACTAATTAAAAATAAATAATGGAGTGAAAGGAAGGTCAGTAGAGTGGAGGAGGGAGAAAAGGGAGTGGGAAGAGAGAATGGGGATTGAAATCTAATTCCTTGTATGTTGATTAATTCCTTGTATGTTAATAATTTTGTCAAAAGGGATCCAAATACTATGTATAATTATATTGCATTAATAAAATTAAAAATATATTTTAAGAAATACTCAATAGACACACAAAGATGTTCACAAAAAAAGAAATGGAATATTTAATAATAAAAGTAGAACTTTTTTTTCCGAGGACACACGAAAGGCTTTTGAGAAAATACAGCTACCATTCATGTAAAAAATGCTGGAGAAACTTGGGATAGGAGGAAGGTACTTACCTTAACATTATAAAGGCCATATATGATAAACCCAAAGCCAACAGTATACTGAATGGAGAAAAACTAAGGGTTTTCCTCTAAAATCAGGAAATAGCAGTTTTGTGAATTATACTTTTTAATGAAGCTAGTCACATTATTCTTTGTTGTAAATTTAGGAGGTCAGTAGGCATTCTGAACTTTTTCTAGTTAATGTTAGCACATACTAAAAACATAAGTATATATATTTTTAAAATTAAAAAAAAAAACTTGGTACTTAAAAATAACATGGTTAATTCTACAGATTCCCGCAATGGATAGACGAATCATTACACCTTATCAAGATGGACCAGATATTAGCTATTTGGAAATAGAAGATGGAGATATCTTTTTGAATGAAGAAATAAATATGGAACAAAATTACTCGTAAGCTGTTTTTGTTTTATTTTCTGTCCTTTTCTTCCTTCCTTCCTTTTTTCTCCCCCAGTCTTGGATACTTGACATTTTATTTTGATATTTTGGAAAAAGAAGTTGAAAAATTTATATTCTTTCTTAGTCTTGTTATAATATAGAATAAATGTATAATTAATCCTTGCAAATCTAATAAATGTATCAAGTATAAGTATAAAAAGAATATAGGCTTTAGTTTAAACATATTCGATCAAATAAGTACAGTAATCTTAACTATCTTCCAATGTGCTGAGATTACAGTAAAGAAATTTGAAAGGTCATATTGTACTACAGCAGAGAGAAGAAGAAAGGAGCAAACAGTCCTCAGGATATGTTAAGAGTTTTGGAATCTGGAAAGTAGTTCTGAAGAGTAATGACTTAAAAAAAATAAAGCAGTTCTGGAAATGCTTAAGAATTAGTGGTATCAGATTTATGAAGACTAGGGTGAGTACTTGGATTTAAGGAGCATTAGATCCCTGGTCCATTCCTAAGCCCCATTCAGCCAAGGGATTGCCTCTCTGCCATCTTGGTAGAAGAGTAGAGATTTACCTTTGGAGAGATTGAACTAAAGAGGTTCCAAAGAGGAGAGCACCAGCCAGAAATGATGTGCTATTTTCAAATGATTCCTCTCTAAGGAACTTATTTCAATAGATTATAAGCCTACAGTGACTGACAAAATATCCCAGATTCTATATAATCCCTTAGAGTGAGCTGACTTGACCAGCCCTGAATAGAATTTGTAATCACTGTTGTAGGTTAACTTATCGACTTATTACAGAATTACTCTTACTCTGTTTAGTAAAATAACCTGTTAAAATGAAATCTTTGGGTGTTCAGGTCATTTACTATATAGAGCCACTGTGTACCTCACTGAAAAACTACTCTTGGGTTCCAGAGGTATTTTTTTCACTTATTTCTTAAATTCTCTCTTCCTAGTGTTTGGTAGCATTTGGGGTACTATAAGTTGGACATCTGACTTAGATATATTATATTATATTAAAAGTTATAATAAGTTTATTAACATTGATATAAATAACTCATTTTATTTCTACAAAATAACACTTCATTGCTGACCCTTGTAAGTGGATAAAATATATAATGAGATCTATAATTTTTTGGTTAAAATAGGATAGTTATTTCCCTAATAGTACTTAATTTAGGGAATTAATAAGCATTTTCTGAAATTCTTAACAAATTGTCACCAGATATTTCTAGGTTAAGATCTTGGCTAATAAAACAGTGTGTATAAATGTGAACAGTGTTTTACTTTTTTTTTCTTTGTAAAGGTTTTATTATGCTTAAGGGTCTTAGTCCTTGACAACAGTTTTCTTCCTGGTGGGTAGGGTATTTTCAGCTCTTCTTGCTACCTCTTGGCACATATGTGTTTTCTTGGTGAACTTGAAGATTTGTTGTCCTTGGAGACCTTGGAGCACTGCTCATACTCAGGAAAGCTATATACCTCTTGGATCATGTCTGATGTGAACTTGGTGTATTTGGTGAGGCACCATGGTAGTGGCTGTGCCTTGTCCTGCTTCTGTTCATAGTCTCTTTGTAGCACTTTTTGAGGCCTATGACTAGCGTTTTACTTTTCCACATATTTTCCTTTTTACCATCTTGTTTTTAATTTTTCACAGAAATGCCAGGATGGGAATAATAATATCACAGTAAGACCCAGTGAAATTAAGTAATTTACTCAGATCTACATTGGTGAATGTAACTAGAGCTTGCCTGTGCTATCATAGTTTCTGTTTGACCAAAATATACTATATTCTGTTGGTTAAAATGCATAGTTTTTCCACTGTTTCATCTCTAATTCATTTTCACTTTTGTGTGTGCTTTTTTCTAGGGAAATCATGTTTAAAAAGGCAAAAACAAAAGCTAAAAAGAAGCCACGTAAGCGTTCAGATAGTTCTGGAGGTTATAACCTCTCAGACATTATTCAGAGTCCACCATCTACAGGTCAGTGAAAGTGTTTTACATATATTTCCAATTTTAGTCTTTGATGTCTTGTTACCTTATTCTATGTGCTACGTGCTATCTGCTGGAGCACATAGAATATAGTCCTTTCAGAAGCTACAAAATTACAGTTTGTATTGTGGTATCCACTCTGAAGTTTGCTCTGGCAGCACAAAAGAGACATTCCAATGAATTTGAAATCAAGGAATACCTGTTAGAGGAAAGTGATGTCCCAGCTGGAGCTTTAAGATGAAGAGAAATTAACCAAGAAAATGAGGCAGATGGACATACTTAGCAAAGGGGACAATATATTCCCAAGTGGACTTAGCCATGTAGTGATGTAGTGTGTGTGCAGATAGGAGATACATTGGATAGGGTCAGATTTTGGAGGCTATTGTTTGCCAAACTAAGGAATTTGGAGTTTTATTTTAATGGCTGTGGGTGATGAATTTTTAAAACAGGGTATGATTGAATAAAATTTATGTTTTTAGAAAGACTATTCTGTCCAGTGGCATAGAGGTTTAGTATGGGCAACATATGACAGATTATATTGTTATGTTGATTTAATTCAAATATGTTAATGCTCTAACTGAGATGCAATTTATGTGCATAAAGAGGTTATAATCTAATCAAATGTAGCACATTTTAAATCTAGGAATTATGTGGTTTGAAAATAAAAGGCAATGTTTTTCTAAATTCCTTTTCTCAGTCTTTTCTTTGGAAATCTTTTAACTTACTGAAAAGATAAAAGAAAAATACCAATAACACCTATATACTCAAGTTTGTGTGTATGTGTATAATAATAGATACTTTTGAGTACTGATCCACTTGGAATAAGTTTTAGACATGACATGTTTCCTTAAATATTTTAATATGAATCACCTAAGAATGAAACCACAATACTATTGTGGTTTTCTATAAAACCACAATACTATTATCACAACAAGACAATTAACATTAATTCACTAGTATTGTTTAGTTTTACATTCTATATCCAGATTTCCCTGATTATTCAAAATTGTTTTATAGCCTTTTTAGTTTTAATCTTTAAAATAATCCAGTGTTCTGTCAAGTTAAACCCTGCTTTTGCTTATTTATATCTCTTTAGTCTTAATTAGAACAGTATCCCTGGTATCTTTTTGTTTTGTATTTTTCCCCCCACAATTTTAGGCTGGTAATATTATTGACTGTTGCACATTCTAGGTTTATATGATCTAGATTTATCTAAATTTTTAACAGTTTCTCTAGATAAAATGTGAAATATGACAATAAAATAATGAGACTATAGTATGGCTTTTGTAAATGGTAGGTGTGTCTGTCTATAGCACTAAGACATACCTTGTACAGTTTCTATCAGTCAACTCCATATTAGTGACTTTGAAAAGTAAAAGACAAGCATCGTTTCACATCTCTTAGGAAAAGATAGCTGTTATGCAGAAAAAAAAGAGGGTGTTTATTTTTGTTTAATTAGCTATTACAAATGGGGTACTTAAAATGTTAATAAAGCTCACAGGGAATAATATCAAGAATAATAGTTTTAGATCAACAAAAGATATGAAAAGCATAGATAATATGCCTAAGTTGGTTTACGAAGTACTGAGAATATTAATCAGGAGACATAGTAAATGGGAAACATGTCTGAAGACCTTTGCAGACTTAAAACTGTAGTTTTCTATTTTCTGTTGTGAGTTATATCTAGCCCTTAGGAAGAGCCGTTGGTAGATGGATGGAAGGATAAATAGACAGTCATCAACTTAGTGATATCCTAGTCACCTAAATGACATAAAAAAGGGCAGATATTTGATTTGCTTTTATGTTATTTTTAGTACATGTGTTAAAATCTTAGCATGTCAGAACTCAAAGAGACCATAGTAATGAAATAATTTATATTCCTTACTTTAAACCTCAGAAAACTTAAGCGATTTGAGGTAGTGGCAAAAAGAAATAGAATTTACTTTCTTGATTCCAATACTATATTTTTCTTGCTGTACCATTCTTTCTGTAGCCAAAGTTGATAATGGTTAGAAGACTAAATTTAAACAAAAGACCTAATTATGGAAATAAATTAAGAGTATGTGGCAAATTTTACTGAAGACATTGTGTGAAGGTTTAGCATGTGTGTTGATACTTAAAGTTACACGATTGACATTCTGTGAAAGTGTTAATATGCAGAATACAAGGTGTGAAACAAAGGCAGGCATTTAGGCTTCCTCAGTTATCTAAGAAGTGGTATATACATTTCATAACACTTTACTTCAGGAGATAAACTAATTTAAAATACTCCCAATAGAAGACATTTTTTACAGGGGGAAAAAAAGAACACCAACTCTCAACAGATTATAATCGACTTCTCTAGGAATCTCTGCTACTAGGCTAGTCTGCTGGATAAAGGAGAGGCAAAAAGGCCATGTGCTTCCTCTGACACAGATGATATTAGTCCTTTTCTGCATGAATGTAGAGATTTCTGTACAAGGAGAGAAAGACAAAGGAGAGGAGTCTGGAGTTCCTTCATTTCTTCTTCTTTTTTTTTCTTTTATGGTGGAAAAAGCATATCCCAAAAACTATCCTCCTCAGTTTCATTGCATAATTGGCATGTAATCATGATGAATAACACTATTGTTTTACAACCTCTTTCATTTTATTTTTTTCACTTAATCTAATATCTTTCTCCAGTTAGCTTGAATGATAAGATTTTGGTGTGGTGAATATAATTTAAATTTTATAAAATCTGGTTAAGTGGAAGCTTTTAGCTCTCTATTTGGCTCATTGACTGTATTGCATATATGTAATTTTTATGTGTTTAAATTTTTTTGGTTTTGTTTTAACTTCTTACTTTAGGATTATTAAAGTCTGGTAAGACCAATTCTGTGGAATCTCTTCCAGAACTATTGACATCAGACTCTGAAGGAAGCTATGCAGGTGTGGGTAGTCCTAGAGATTTACAGTCCCCTGATTTCACAAGAGGATTTCATTCAGATAAGATTGAGGTTAGTTTTATAAAGCACTGTTTCCTTACCTTTAGTTTTTAGATCTGTATACAGTTTAACTTTAGTTTTTCATTATTTTTACTCAAACTTTAAAACACTGTCCTGGCTGGTTTATAAGATAAAATTAATACAATATGTGTAGTGTTAGTTTCTCAAATTTGTATAACCTTCCTAATTTTATTCAATGACTCTTTCAAACCCTTTATGAATGTTATGTCTAATCTTTCTACAAGTAAAATAGAGTGTTGATGTGTAAAATATAATGATGTAAAATATAGTAACACTATGTAGACAGTGAAAACTATATTTGTAGATGAATTACTGAATTGTCTTTTGTGAAATGTCAGTTAACAGAAGATAAAAATTATCAAAGGTAAAGTAATTTTGAAAATAAGTCTAAATTCAGATTCTACTAGTCCCTTTCATAGTATTAACTAGAGCAAAACAAGCTGGAATGATTTGAGATCTTCTAGTCTAGCATAATTGACATTAAGCTGCAGGATTCCTAGTCTGGGTATCTCTGAGGAATGCATTTTTTAGACATCCTGACATTTTATTCCATAGTTTATAATCTATGGGGAAGGGAAATATCTACTTTATTTGAGATAGACTTATTTTTCTCTAATTCCTGTACATCCCTAAAGCATATTCTAGGGCTGGGGATGTAGCTCAGTGGTAGAGCACTTGCCTGCACATGCAAGACCCTGAGTTCAATCCCTAGTATTGCCTTTAAAAAAAAAAATAATAATCCTAACTTTTAGGAATTCCTAAGACAATAGAACTTATGCTTTCTACCCTGTCTTGTTCTAGGCCTCAAGGATTGATTATTTTAATGTAGGGTAAACATTTGGGGTCAATTATTATTCAGATAAGATTGGTCTGGAATATAGAAGGCATATTGTGAATGTCTTATAATAGTAGAAGAATTAATCCTGGCAATAGAAATACTATTTTAATAACTTACTTGACCTATTATAATATCAGTAGTTTCCAGGTCCCTTTTGAAATATCAGTATTATTTGACTTTAATTTTATTCAGAGTCCTTTAATTATGTTCAGAGTGACTTTCTATGACATTTATACCAAATTTTCATTTTGTTTCATATCTGAAGTTGTGGACATTAATTTAAAATTGCTGCTTCATATCTTACTGTATAGCTTCTATATATTAACATTCTTGTTTACTCTTTGTATAAATATAAGTTTAATAGGCAAACATTATCCCTAAAAATTATTCTCCAAGCTCACAATCATCTGATTGTTTGAGAATTGGTTAAAGCATTAACCTGTAGAAGAATATGAATTAAAAATGTTAGATGGTTTATTATCAGAAGATTTTCCATAATGTAACTAATATTTGTTAAGAATCAACTACATATTAGCTACTGAGCTAGGTATCTGCTCTTATTAACTTTAATGTTTTTTTCCCCTTCCCTTAGGTGAAAGTTAAACCTTATGTTAATGGTACAACTAATACATCTTCTAGGGAAGATTTCAAACCATGGGAAAAATCATCAATACTTAAAGTATCTACTCCACAGCCCATTCCCAGTAACAGAATTGATGTAACAAGTTCTTCCAGCTGGGTTGCTGGCTCTTTCAGGTAGAATTTTCATTTTGTTCTGTATCTGAGAAATATCATTAATTTTAATCAAATGAAAAAATTTAAAAAATATTAATATACTCTACTATACATAAAATTACCTATATGCATACAAATTGCTAATCAATATAATAGGCTTATCCCCCACCCAGGCAAAATATAGTTGTCTTTGTATTATTGTCAGTATATTATAGCATATTTTTCTTTGTTAATGTATATTAATTAAAACTCCTACTCAAGGGGAAGGTAATGATGGAGAAAGACTGATGCATATGTAAGGTAAAAAGTCATAGAAGAGAGAAGTTCTGCTGTTCTGTTGCACAGTAGGATAACTATAGATAATAATATGCTGCTTATTAAAAAAAAAAAAGCTGAAAGAAAAGATTTTGAATATTTTCACCATAAAGACCTGATAAATGTTTGAGGGGACAGTTTTACCTTGATTGGAATATTTCATAATATATATGTATGTTGAAAGATCACATGGTATTCCATAAATAGGTATACTTTTTATGTGTCAGTTAAAAACTTAAAAACCAAGGCAAAAACAGAATTAGAAAAAAAGCCCATCTTCCTTTTAGGAAAACCATTTTTTTTTTTTTTTTAATTTGTAAGCTTTATGCTTTCTGAGCTACCTTTAGGCCATGAAGTAGTATTAACTGGAACATCATAATCTTTGTTCCATATATGCATAATAGAGCACCTTATTATCTCACAAAATATATTATTATACAGTTAAATGTTTGCACCTTAGTGGGTATTTAAAATCTCATAAAATGTACTGTTCATTGTTAGTATATCTGAGGATATTTATTGAATGTTATACTATCTTTTTACTTATATTTTATGCATATTTTTCTTTTATTTAGAAGTCAAATGAAGGAGTATTTGTAAATAGAAAGCATAGTTTGCTTTTTTGTAGGGCTATAGAGCTTGTGCTTCATTTTTATGTAACTACTTTGGTTGATTATAGGCTAAAACTGTCAAGTGACTTATTGATTATATTATCACTCTGACCATTTGTGCAATTTTTTTGAAATGTGCTCTGTTATGTATTGGAACAAAGTATATGATGTTTCAGTTTATGTTGCTTCATGGTCTAATGGTAGCTCAGAAATTAGTCTGAAATGTTTTGGCATTCTAAGTAACATAACAATTTCTGGGGACATCTGGAAACATATTCTGAGTACTGATATTAGAATATTTTCTAAACATGTCTTAAAAATAGTGCCTAGCTATATAAATTGGTCAATATTTTACATATTAATGCATACATAAACAATTCTACATCATTCTGAAGTATCATCTAGTGGGAATAAATACAGAAATATAGTAAATATTTTTCTTTTTGAAAGAAAAAACAGCAGGTTATCCTTCAATATATAGTAATATGACTTATTTTTAGCTGTATCATAGATTTCATTTAGGTTAGAAACTGTAAAAATCATGGAGTATTTTTTTTTTATGGTATAGCTAGCTACTTTTGGTGGGTTTCCAATATTAATATTGTTGAATATCCTAAGGTTTTCTAGAAAATGTCTGTTTTTGTTAATACTAATAAGAATTTTGTTATCAGCAAAACAATTCTAAATTATACTTTCATTATTAATCTACATATAATTTATAGTTTCATTGAAGTTTGGGGTTGGGTTTTAAAGGTAATTGAAGGCTTTTGTAAAGTAATTCTTTAATTTTTTTTAGTCCTGTCAGCCCTCCTGTCGTGGATCTCAGAACCATCATGGAAATAGAAGAAAGTAGACAAAAATGTGGAGCTACACCTAAGTCAAATTTAGGGTTGGTTAAAAAAATCATAAAAAAAAATTATATTCCTGTCCTAAAAAATTGGAAAGATCCATTGGATCGTTCTCATTATTTCTCTGCCTTTGATCTAATAGATTTAAGCCTTTTTCTAGGTAATTTAACCTTTATAATATTTCTTAAATCTGTGTAAAGATTGAGTTAAGTTGATAGACTAGCTTTTATACAAAACAGTATCACATGCTAGAAACCATGTGATCTGTTCTTGAAGAAAAATCAAAGAAAAAGCAAAAATTTTTAAGCTTTGTAATGTAAATTATCCTTGAAAAGTATATAAAGGAGGAATTAATCATAGCTATTACTTAATGATTGATAGTATAAATTAATATCACCACTGTTGATACTTTGTGAACATCTTGATCAAATAGTAAAGTCACACCAAATAAATAGGAAATATTATCCTTATCTCTAACTTTCATTAAAGAAATTCATGCTAATTGGTTTAATTTCTAGCAAAATTATTTCTCATGATATTAAACTTTCTCAGGAGCAGTGAAACTAATTGATTTAATTTAATTTAATCTTCAGCAAAATGGTTTCTCCTGGAGTTAAACTTTCTCAGAAGCAACGAAAAATGATCGCATTGACTACCAAAGAAAATAATTCAGGAATGAGTAGCATGGAAACAGTTTTAACCACTCCTTCCAAAGTCCCCAAACCAGTGAATGTATGGTATGTATCACTTTTATTAAAATTAGCTTAGATTGGTTTATTAGTTTATAAAGTGATTCTTTACTCCTGAGGTTTTCCCTGCCTATATTAGCAAATATTTCATTCCTTCCTTTGCTTTTAAGTCAAAAATGGGATTTTTTTGTTTTGTTTTAATTTTTAATGTATTGACATTATATCATGATTTTCAAATGTTTTTCATTATGAATATAATTTCTTCTTGTTATTCTGCTAAACTTCTCTTGTTAAAGTGACTTAAAATAAGTTTACTTTTTCATTTTATAATAAATAAAATGCACCACAGGACATTTTCATAAAAGCAAACTTTATTTTTAGTACCCTTATTTCTTTGTCCTTTTGTATGCATCATAAATGTCTTTACGTAGTTATACAAAGCTTCTTGTCACTTTTTTAAACAGTGCTGTTAACATTACATTATTTATGTTTTCTCTATTATAATTTACCCAAAGTGGCATAATTATAGGAGTAATCTTCGAAGAGGTCAGATGACAATTTTGAGATGTGTAAAACAGGCTGTATTCTGCTTCCCTTCCATCTGCCCTTTTCTTTGTTATCCACATCAGAATATCTGGAAACCAGTTCTAGAGAAGCACATACATAAGTAGTGTGAAGGGTAAGGAAGAAGTAGAACCCACTTTCTTTCACAGGAACTGAGGGTGATCTTGGTAGCCACCCTTAGTTTGGGAAAATCCTTCAGTGTCCTAATGCTAAATTATTCTGTTTGTAAAAGGGAATATTTTTCCTACTAAGGGGGAATGACACTCAGTTTTGAGTGTTGCCAGTGGGAATTAACATAATGCTAGTCAGAGCTGCTAATAGGTCTAAAGTACAATTTCTGACCAAAGAAAGTAAACACAAGAAATTGGAATACTGAAGTAGAAGAAAACTGAGGATGACACTTGAGAAAATGGTCTTAGCAGAAATTTTTTTAATTCTTCAGTATTTCTTAAACATCTTCCACATGTAAGGCATTCTTTTAATTTCTGGTGATATGACAATAAAGCAAGACCAATTTTCTTATTGCCTTTGTAGGTTTTATGGTGTAACTGTTAACAACATTGAGTTGTGTTTTCGCTGGTGTAGAAAATAGCAAGAGGGAAAAAAGTATTATTGAAATAATCATTAAGATACTAAAATTATTGTAATTTGAAAGCATTAACTAACTACGTTTGGAAGCATTTGGCTTAGTAATGTTGTTTTAGATGTGCCATCAATTGGTTTCCTTATTTAAACAAAAAAATAAATGAAAAAAAAATACATTTGTTTTCTTAGAGGCTTCTGCCTTAGAACCTTGTGTTTTTCTCTGGTCTGAACTGGGTCTTTTCTAGGCCTGTGGATTATCTGCCATCTTGGATTTTCCTTAATTGTCATCTTAGAAATGTCCTTGCTTTCCTCCAGTATTTAATCTGGTTTTCTATGTTTTGTGTTTGTCTGTTTTTTGATTTATTCCATGTTTTGATGTAGTACAACTCCAGTAGTTTGCTGACAAAGAATATGTACTGCTTACGTTTTTGGAGTTTTTTATTCACGAACATTTTGTTGTTTTCTTTTTTATTATTGATTGCTAGTTAGATTGGAACAAGATTCTAAGTTGGGATCCTTTGGAGAATTTGTTCCTTTTTGTTATCCCTGTGGCTTTTGGGAAGTCTAATATCATTTGATTTCCATTTCTTCTTATGGTACCCCCCATTATCCTTCTTCCACCTTTGTTTTCCCCCTAGAAATTTATAGTTTTCTTTATTCCTAGTGTTCAGAAATTTCAAAATTATGTACTTTCATGGGGTTTGTTTTGACATATTATTTTGAGAATTTGTGTTAATTGAAAACAGCATGCCCTTAGGTTTAGAAAAATTGTATGAACTATTCCTTTGATAACTTTTCCTTTTGTTTTCTCTAAAATTTATACTAATCAGATATTGGTCCTCCTGGATTTCTGTAATTAATTTTTCTACTGTCCATATATTTGTCTTCCCATTTCATATTCTCAAATATTTCCTTGATTATTTTCAACTATTAAAATCTTTAATCACCAAAAAAAGGCAACATATATAAGAATGTTTGTAACAACATTATCTGTAATAACTAAAGTTGGAAATAGCCTAAATATCTATCAGCATTAAATGGATGCATTTTTTAAAGTAATAGAACACTACCCAGTGATTAAAAAATGAATTATGACTAAATACTATGTGGATGAATCTCACTGATATAATATTGTGGAAAAAAAGCCAGTCAGAAAAAAGAAATATGGTTCCATATATGAAAAGTTAAAAATAGTCATTGACTTATATTCCTGTTTTATTCACTCTTTTCTGTATATTTCTTGGTTCGTTTTAATATTTTATTCTTTAGATTTATTGATTGTTTTAAGTTCTGATTAGAAGCACCATGTGCCTGTGTGGAATGGGTATGACTTTAGGATGCTTTGCAATATCCTTAGGGTATCCTTAGGAAGCACCACCCTAATATTGGTTACCTCCTTGATATTTTTTTTCCTTGGTCTCCATAGGATGTTGATGATTTTTTTCCCCCTCCCTTTTGGTACAGGGGATTGAACCCAAGGGACACTTAACCATTAAGCCACATTCTAGCCCTTTTTATTTTTTATTTTGAGACAGGGTCTTGCTAAGTTGATTAGGGCCTTGAAAAACTGCTGAGGATGGCTTTTGAACTTTGAATTCTCCTGCTTCAAACTCCCAAGTCACTAGGGTTACAGACCTGTGCCACCATGCTTGGGGACATGTCAATTTTTTTAAAGAACAGATAAAATTATTTGTTGTGAAGGTCTATAAATTTGGTTGCCAGCATTTTGGAAGCTGATCAGGGTGAATAGTTTAGGGCAGAGACTAAAGTTTTCACTGGATATAGATTTTCACTCACTTTACCATTTATTGTATAAACTTGTGCAGAAGCAAATACTTTGCTTCTGCCTTTCTATTTTACTAGTGTCTTTGAATCAGATTTTCCTTTTGATAAGGTATGGGAGGTGCAGTCATGTGACCTCATGAAATTAGGACATTTACTATTCTCAATTATGCCAACAAATAAACTTCAAAAACCAGTTTTCACATTTTTAGCCATGTTCTTAATTCAGTATTTGATACAATATATGAGCTTTTCCGGGTTTTTGATCTTTTCACAGTACTACCACCTAATTGATAGCAGGCTTTTTTTAAAATTCCCACTCTACCAGCTATCACTCTGCTTCTTCATTCTCCAAAAACATGTTGCTATTTTTAGTCTGTCATCTCTTAATATCTTATTCTTTTTTTGTGTGAGGTGGGCTTACACACTTCTGGTTGCTTTTCTATTCACTTTAGGTGAAATTTCAGGAAAAAAGTATTAAAGGGAAGAATAGTTATTTATTTGACACTTAAGACTTGAATGTTCAAATTTAGGCAAAATGTTTCTCCAGTAATTATTAGCAACATGAGCTCAGAGAGTCCTACTTTGAAGGCACTTTCTAAATTTTAGAAGTAGTCTATTATGAAAATATTCAGGAGAAGTCTAGAAAGATAGGAAGAAAATGCCATGAAATTTGGCCCAAAACGTAAATCAGTGTACTTTTCATTGAGAAGTATTTGGCAACTATTAAATCTAAATGATGTTTATTATAAATTTATTTTATGAAAACCTACTTGGAAAATTTAAATACAAACAAATGAGTAATGAATTTTGTGGCAAATTACAATTTTATTTTGAATTATTGTAAAGGTTAGAAGTGTCTTGAGTTGTCATAAAATTAATAATTATGCATTTTATAATGATAATACACTTTTGTTAAATCTTAAGGATCTTTTAAAGTTGATTTCTGCAAAATTATTTTGAATATATTCATTGTTTTTATTTATACTTATTAAAGAGTGAATTGAAGCAACTTTGTAAAGTATATATGTAGAAATGTATATATAAGTATATATTTAGAATAAATATATACATATATTTTTTATTAGATTATGAGAATTTTATTCTAAGTTAATGGCACAAATCAAAACATTATAAATTTTAAGAACACATTCACATTAAATAGTTAATATTTGGTATATAGGAACTTTGAGGCATGTTTAGTATAAATTGAAATAAAATTATTAGGTTTTTAATTTTCTTTCTTTATGCTATATTTTGTAGTGCTGGGAATTCATAATTTTCTTTCTGAGATTTCTATAAAATTGCAAGGAATTCTAAATTGAACTGTGATTATTGAGTAGATACAATGTGGTGTGCTGGTTTGTATGATTAAAAGTTATTTTAATTTTATATTATGTATAGAATTATCTTTGAAATTATGAAGTAACCACAGTATTATTTATAATGATAACACTTGATTTTTACTTTGGTACACACAGTACCTGAGTAGCACATATGCAATACATGCTAGAAATTTCTGAGAACATCCCTTAAACGCCTTGGTTTAAAAACTCACTGAAAGAATTTAAACTTTTTTCTACTTTAATAAAATAAAAAAATGATCTGAAATTAGCATTTTAATCTAATTTGTGGATTGTGTTTCAGAGTCTTTTCATGATTATAGTATTTTAAATATTTCTCAAATATACATTATCACTTCTAATGTATCATCTAATCAGAATTTATTTCTTTACAAGATGTTTTTATACTATATCTTAATATTAAAGTTAATGTGCAGTTCATCATTTGCAAATCACAGATCAGCCCTCTAAATCTGCTTTTGGTTGTGGTAGGATTTTTGGTAGCCTTTTTACACATTATTTCACCTAGTATATAAATTCACAATTATAGTTTTATTCTTGTTGCCTGCAATTAGATGTGGCAAAGTAAAGTATTAAAGACAATTGTTTTTTGCACGGGAATGAAGTTCTAACCATTTGAATTTTAAATCTAATGTGAAAACATTAAGTATATATGAGATTTGGCCACTTTTCATCTTCAAGTGTTTTACTTGGAGAAGTAATACATTTCTCATCAGTCATCTTGAGTGGAAGAATACACAGTCTTCATGGCCTGGCTTGATATATGAATGCAATTTTTTCCAAATTCCATCGAGAACTAGCTAACATATATAGAGTAGTTTCCAATTATTCAACTTTTTTGAGCTAGAAATGTATTCATTAAAGTTTCAGGGGTACTTTAGCTGAGGAATACAATTTTTGTTAATTTTCATGTGGATATAAATGTCTATAAATATTTTTCCATGAAGTTTCTGTGGCTACTCAAATGGAAAATAACCAGAGCCTATGAGGAAAGTAAAATTGTGGGAAATTAGACACTGTATCAAATCATGGCATAATCAGTGGAAAGAACCTTGGAATTTCTTTGAAGAATTCTTCATACCACATTTTATAATTGATCACTGTGTGTAACTAATGAATGTGTGGGTTAAAACATTTTATAAGCAGTCTTACTTATTATTTATTCTTGGAGAGCTTTTACCCTAAGTAACTTCTTAAAAAAACCTGTGGGATAGAAATCATGTATTACATCTGGGAGTCCCCAGATTAACCACTAGAATGAATTTGACAACTTGTACGTTTCAATAGTGATAGTTCCAGGTTTCTTTATTTAGAAAAATAATTTACAGGAGACACTCAGGGAATTTGCTAGTAAGAATATTTGCGAACACTGTTCCCAACAATTAATGATACACACTGTATTTTATATCATAGTTAACTTAAGATATGTGTGCTTTTGAGGGGAGAAAGGATTTGGGAAGGAAATTTGAACTGTATGTGTGTTTGACTTTTGTCTTCTGTATATGTGTATGTTTTGGGGAAAATTTTTGTGATAAGGCCAAAGATTAGTTCTCTTGAAGGAATATTGTTAACATGAATAGCTTAGTAGGTCATCTTCTGATGCAAATCTATAAAGAAAATTTCTTCATATTGTCTCAGGTTTTATGTAGGGTAAATGACTTCAAATATGGACTCAGCATAACAAATTATCCCTACAAAGCAGCTTAAAAGAAACAACAATTATTTCTCACAATACCTGTGAGTCTAGAATGTTAGCTGTGTTCCTCTTCAAGCTTCCCAGTGCTGCCCTTAGGGTTCATCCAGAACTATAATAATCTTAAGGATTGACTTGCAGAGGGCCCTCTTCCAAGCTTACTCACATGGATATAAGTTGGATTGACATTTTTCCTCCTTTCATCACATTAAAGATGTCTTCCCACTTCCAGTGAAGTCTTTTGGACTTCATTGTTTCCATAACAAGCTAGCCATTTTCATATTGTGTTATACTTCTATGATTGCTTCAATGAATTTTTTTTTAATCTTTAGTTTTAAGTTGTTTGCCTATGATGTCCCTAAGTGTGATTATCTTTGCATTTATCTTGTTTGATGTTTGTTAAAACTTAGATTTTTAAATTTTTTCTTCCACCAAACTTGGAAAATTTTCAGCTGTTGTTTCAATATTTTGGTCTGCCATCTCACTGTCTCTTCTGCTTACAGTACTTTTCATATCCTGTAATTCCCCAAGGCTGACTTTTTCTCACTCCTGAGATTTCTATTGTTTATATGATTCCTATTGACTTCTTAGTCTACAAAGTTCATCCAAGTGCTAATTTTGTCTTTTCAACATCATTTTGTTCTTTTTTGTTTCTGTTCCTGTACTGAGTTTACCAGTTTTTTAAATTTTTTTTTTATTTTTATTTTTTTAAAGAGAGAGGGAGGGGGGGAGAGAGGGGGGGGGGGGGGGGGAGAATTTTAATATTTTTTAGTTATCGGTGGACACAACATCTTTGTTTGTACGTGCTGCTGAGGATTGAACCCGGGCCGCACACATGCCAGGCGAGTGCGCTACCGCTTGAGCCACATCCCCAGCCCAACCAGTTTTTTAATTCCTTCTGAGTATATCTTTGCTACTGTTGTTGTCTGAGGCATAGTTACAATAGCTATTTCAGTATCCTTGCTATTTTCAACATCTAGATTTATCCTTAGTGGTATTGTCCACTGATTTCTTTTTCTTTTTTTTTTTTTATTTTATTTTATTTATTTTTTTTATTGTTGGCTGTTCAAAACATTACATAGTTCTTGATATATCATATTTCACACTTTGATTCAAGTGGGTTATGAGCTCCCATTTTTACCCCATATACAGATTGCAGAATTACATCAGTTACATATCCATTGATTTACATATTGCCATACTAGTGTCTGTTGTGTTCTGCTGCCTTTCCTATTCTCTACTATCACCCCTCCCCTCCCCTCCCCTCCCGTCTTCTCTCTCTGCCCCCTCTACTGACATTCATTTTTCCCCCTTGTATTATTTTTCCCTTTCCCCTCACTTCCTCTTGTATGTACTTTTGTATAACTCTGAGGGACCTTCCATTTCCATGCAATTTCCCTTCTCTCTCCCTTTCCCTCCCACCTCTCATCCCTGTTTAATGTTAATCTTCTTCTCCTGCTCTTCGATCCTACTCTGTTCTTAGTTACTCTCCTTATATCAAAGAAGACATTTGGCATTTGTTTTTTAGGGATTGGCTAGCTTCACTTAGCATAATCTGCTCTAGTGCCATCCATTTCCCTGTAAATTCTATGATTTTGTCATTTTTTAATGCAGAGTAATACTCCATTGTGTATAAATGCCACATTTTTTTTTTATCCATTCATCTATTGAAGGGCATCTAGGTTGGTTCCACAGTCTTGCTATTGTGAATTGTGCTGCTATGAACATCGATGTAGCAGTGTCCCTGTAGCATGCTCTTTTTAGGTCTTTAGGGAATAGACCGAGAAGGGGAGTAGCTGGGTCAAATGGTGGCTCCATTCCCAGCTTTCCAAGAAATCTCCATACTGCTTTCCAAATTGGCTGCACCAATTTGCAGTCCCACCAGCAGTGTACAAGTGTACACTTTTCCCCGCATCCTCGCCAGCACTTGTTGTTGTTTGACTTCATAATGGCTGCCAATCTAACTGGAGTGAGATGGTATCTTAGGGTGGTTTTGATTTGCATTTCTCTGACTGCTAGAGATGGTGAGCATTTTTTCATGTACTTGTTGATTGATTGTATGTCCTCCTCTGAGAAGTGTCTGTTCAGGTCCTTGGCCCATTTGTTGATTGGGTTGTTTGTTCTCTTATTGTCTAATTTTTTGAGTTCTTTGTATACTCTGGATATTAGGGCTCTATCTGAAGTGTGAGGAGTAAAGATTTGTTCCCAGGATGTAGGCTCTCTATTTACCTCTCTTATTGTTTCTTTGCTGACAAAAAACTTTTTAGTTTGAGTAAGTCCCATTTGTTGATTCTAGTTATTAACTTTTGTGCTATGGGTGTCCTATTGAGGAATTTGGAGCCCTACCCCACAGTATGTAGATCGTAGCCAACTTTTTCTTCTATCAGACGGCGTGTCTCTGATTTGATATCAAGCTCCTTGATCCATTTTGAATTCACTTTTGTGCATGGCGAGAGAAAGGGATTCAGTTTCATTTTGTTGCATATGGATTTCCAGTTTTCCCAGCACCATTTGTTGAAGATGCTATCCTTCCTCCATTGCATGCTTTTAGCCCCTTTATCAAATATAAGATAGTTGTAGTTTTGTGGATTGGTTTCTGTGTCCTCTATTCTGTACCATTGGTCCACCCGCCTGTTTTGGTACCAGTACCATGCTGTTTTTGTTACTATTGCTCTGTAGTATAGTTTGAAGTCTGGTATCGCTATACCGCCTGATTCACACTTCCTGCTTAGAGTTGTTTTTGCTATTCTGGGTCGTTTATTTTTCCATATGAATTTCATGATTGCTTTCTCTATTTCTACAAGAAATGCCGTTGGGATTTTGATTGGCATTGCATTAAACCTATAGAGAACTTTTGGTAATATCGCCATTTTGATGATGTTAGTTCTGCCTATCCATGAACAGGGTATATTTTTGCATCTTCTAAGATCTTCTTCTATTTCTCTCTTTCTTTTTCTTACTCATAGTTTTGATTGGTTAACATTTGATAGCAAGGATTGACCATTATATTGGAAACTATATTGTTAAATTTTTCACATATATATTCTCTGTATGTCCATTAATTTCCAGGAATGCCATTTTACAAAATGGATGTTCTAGCATGATCTTTGCTTTCTTTTGCAGGGCATCTTCTCTACATTCAGCTTCATCCAAGTCATTCCGGGATTTCTTACTAGAAGAAAAAAAATCTGTTACTGGTCATAGTTTAGGAGATCATGTCAAAAAAGTTTGTTTTAAAGGAACTGAAAATTCTCAGGCTCCAAAAGTTGTAAGGTAATGAAGCAAAACCAATATATTTTTTACCTTAAACTATTCTATGGTTGTTATATGGTTTGAAATGATAAAAAATTTATGAGGCAGTTTTTTTATATTCAAAATTAAAAGTAGTATTCCTATTCCCTTTCGCCTTATAATTTTTTCCCCCTAAAACAGTATTGAGGTATTTGCCTTACAATAAACTGCATGTATTTAAAGTATACAATTTGAGGTTTTAATATATGTGCATATTTGTCAAATCCTCACCACTTTTGAGATAATGAACATAATCATTCTCAGAATTTTTCTTATTTCCCTTCCCCGATTACCAGTTTACTTTTTTCAGTAGAGACTAGCTTGTATTTGTTCAACTTTTTCATCAATTGAACTATATAGTATATACCTTTTTTTATAATCTGTCATATTTTATTCAGCACGATTATTTCAAGACTCATCCGTGTTTTAACCAGCAGTTGATTACTTTCTTTTTCTTTGCTAAATAATATTTTTCTGTATGGATATACCAGAATCTACTCGTCCCCTGTTGATTGTACCTTTAATAGTTTTAGATTTTTTTCTCTAGCTGTTTTTGATATTCAGTGTATACATATAAAACAGCTTATAGCCTTTTTTTTTTTTTAAAGAGAGAGTGAGAGAATTTTTTTAATATTTATTTTTTAGTTTTCAGCGGACACAACATCTTTGTTTTTGTATGTGGTGCTGAGGATCGAACCCGGGCCGCAAGCATGCCAGGCGAGCGCACTACCGCTTGAGCAATATCCCCTGCCCCAGCTTATAGCTTTTTTACATAAAAATTTATAGGTAAAATTTTTTTATGATAGGCTTATAAATAAAAGTTGGGTGCTATGTAAAATATACAAGTGTTAAAATTGGCAAAAATTTATTACATGTTTTTGTATCAGACATTATGCTAACTACTTAAATTACATATTGGTGAAAAAAAATCAATATAGCCCCTACTCATAGAACTCACAGTCTAAAGAAAATAAAAGCTTAAGCAAATAAATAGTTCCATGAAGCATTATGAAGAGGAAGTATTAGACTCATCATTCAGTTTCTACATTTTGTTTATTATCAAATATTAAGAAATCTGGTTTTAAATAAATAGTTTAAAAATGTTTTAAATTTGCTCTTGGTAAGTTTAAGAGCATTCTTCATTTAGAAAGCTAGTAGAAGAAGCTATATTCTGAATTTATATTAAAGCAAAGTAACTTGGCAATAGGAGTGAACATGCTGATGATCTTTGGTGTATTAAAAATATTAGTTTCTGGGACTTGGGGTTGTGGCTTAGTGTTAGAGCTCTTGCCTCACACTTGTGAGGTACTTAGTTTGATCCTCAGCACCACATAAAAATAAATAAATAAACAAAATAAAGATATTGTGTCCATTTACAACTAAAAAATATATTAGTTTAAAAAATGTCTTTAAGAAAAAGTAAATACCAACAAATCCTCTGTAATGACCCTGGGTCTCATTTTTCACCTTTATTGTAATATTAAAAAAAATAGAATCTGAAATAGTCAGGATCTCCCTAAGTTACTAAGGGCTTCAAACTTAGGATCCTACTGTTTCAACCTCCTGAGCTATTGGGATTACAGGTGTGCACCACTGTGCTTGGCACCATTTTTTTATTAGTGTGATTCTTTATTATTAGTGTGATTCTTCCCATCTGAGTTTAAATATGCTCAGGTTCCTCCCATGTGGTCTGGGTGGGATAATTAATCCCTCACTCAGTTTCCATATTTAATTCTAATAATTGTCCTATAAGTACCAATCCCACACTTCCTTCATCACCAGATTTCTCAAAAGAACTGCCAGTTCCCACTCATTCTGTAACTAATTCTGGCTTCTACCCTCACTGTTAAACTGAAAGCAGTTTAGGCTGAGTTCAATAATAACCTTCATATTGCCAACATCATGGACTTTTTATGTGATTCATCTTACTAGAAGTTTAATTACAGGTCATTGATCATGTACTTTCTACACTATTTGTTTAATGAGCCTGTGTTCAGTTTATCATGTATATTCTAAAGATTCAAAATAAGTATGTCTCCTGCCCCTATCTATCTGAGCTTCAGATTTAGTTATCCAAGTATCTTGACCTTTTCATCCTATCTGGATGTCCAGAATCAAACTTAACATCAAAAATGTTGACAAAACATAAAACAACCTATTTTTCCTGATTTTTAATCCTCAGTAAATAACATTTGGAAATCTTTTAAAACCTCTGTGTTCCTCACCAATATTTAGTCTTTTATCAAGATATGATAGTTTCACTCTGAAATATTTATAGACTAAACTTTATATCTAGAACCATTACACTTTTATTCAAACTGCTACGTTTTTTTACCTGGACTACCATAATGGTCTTCCTAACTGGTCTTGCATGCATAGTCCTTTTCCCTTTCTTCCAATATATTAAACTAGTGTGTTCTTTTGAAAATATGGAGCTTCCTGCTTTTAGGACAAAGGCCAGAATTTGTATTATAGCCTTTAAGACCTACATAGTTGGCTCCTGCCAACCTCTTTAGCTTTCTCTTGTAACAAGATCTCTAAATTCTAACCTCCTTGGCCTTTTCTTTGTTCTCAAATACACTTTCTTTTTTTTCTTCCTTCTTATCCTTTGACTAATTGACTCTTTACTCTTCATGCAGACTCTGTTCAGTCATCTACTTTAGAGAAGTCTGACTTCATTTACTGGCTGAAGTTCCTGTTATATATTTCCGTATCATTCCTTCATTGTACCTTCCACAATTATTATTAGTGTGATTCTTTAATGTTTGTTTACTACAAATATTTTTATGTCTGTACACTTAATTATATGTTCCATGAGAGCAAGGAAGATGTCTTTCTTTGCTAGTCATTGTATCACTAATAGTTACAATGGTTCCTATCATGTGGGACCCAGTGAACATTTGGTGAATGACTGAATGAATAAATAAAAACTAGCTATTTCAAATAACATTTGTTTCTAATTTAGTGAGTTATAGTGTTTGCTTTAGATATATAAATTTTAAAGTATGAAAATTAAGTTTGTTTTTGTAATATTTTACATTTTAAATGTTAAAGATATATGTTGAAATATAAAATTTTTATTTGGATGTATATTTGTCATGGGACTCACAAAATATTAAAAATCTGTGGTTTCGTAGTTGATCACTAGAGTGTGCTATAACATCAAGACTCTTAGTTGTGAAAAATGTGCCATTATAGATATATTGCTTTGGAAGTTTGAATTGGAGTGTGTGGCTCAGTCACGTATCCATGTGTTTAGTATGAGAGTTAATGTTTTAAATAGCTACAGTGATCATGAATAATAATTTTCAAAAAGAAAACATAGCTTATGTTTCAGTTTTTATTTCTTTATAGAAGGTTTGTGAATCATAATCAAAATAAATATGTTTCTTTGCAGTGTTTTATATTTCCTTATAGATAAATTAAAGTATATAATCACCAAATTATGGAACACTTGATAAAAGCACATGTTTTACTGGCTTCATATAAATATAAAACACAGGTCCAGCCTTTAATGTGTTTGAAGTCTAGTTGATCTAAATATATACACAGAGAAGTTAAATGACAGACAAGAATGAAATTATAATACAACTTAACAGTATTAAAGAGGTCACAAATGAGATATGGGATTAATGCCAAATGAGTGGTTCAGAGAAGGAAAAGTGACCACCATGGATTAGAGTTGTTAGGAATGATTTCATTGATGAAGGTTTTTTTTTTTTTTTTTACTCATGTGGTCATAAATATAATTATCACATATTTGGAACTGAATAAAAATATTATAAATATTATATATCATAAATTAAATATAATTATATTTATATATTTTATATTTTTATGTATGATTATATTATAAATTAAATATAATTAAATATTATAAATATTTTTATTCAGTTCCAAATATGTGATAATTATATTTATGACCATGTGAGTTAAAAAAAAGATCAGTGAGAAAAAAAATCAATTATTGATCCCTTTTATTGTCACAATCTTTTGAACTTGGGATGAGATTTTTAAAAAGAGAGAAGAAAGGACAGTATAAACAGAGGAAATAGTGGAAGTTAAAGTAAGAAGATAGGAATGCTTATGATCCTTTGTGGAGTTGGGGTGGTAGGGGTGGGAGGCCCATCTAAAGAAATTCTACAAATTATACATTCTTATTTTAATTGTAGAAAATGTGACTTTTCCAAGGCTAAGGCAAAAAAGGCAATGTTGTATGAGATGTCAAAATTTAGAAGAGGGGAATTTTTACAGTTTCTATGTGTTTATTATTTTTCATTTTATGTGTTTTTTTTTTTTTTTTTAGTTTTTGTTTCACTTAAGATAACTTCTTATGTAGTTCTGGGCAAGAAAATGTGAGCTTGTGTTTTTAATTAGTAAGAAAAACTACTTATGAAACAAAATTACTGTAGAATTATATCAGCTCTAATATTACATAAAACTATTGTAATCAAACTAATATACAATTTTATTTAAAAAATGGAGCAAAAAGTAATGTAGTTGTTCTCATCAGGTCTAAATTTGACAATGTTAATTTTCTTCAGTTTGAACAAAAATCTTTTATTTATTTGACGGGTTTTTTTGTTTGTTTTTTGTTTCTTTTGCAGTACTGGGGATTGAATCTGGGGCCTAACATATGCTAGGCAAGTGCTCTACCAGTGAGCTGTATCCCAGTCATTTTTAATTTTATTTTTTAGACAAGGTCTTGCTAAGTTGCTCAAACTGGCCTAAAACTTGTGATCTCCTGCCTCAGGCTCATAAGAAGTTGGAATTACAGAAGTGTGCCATTGCACCTGGTTGGAACAAAAATCTTTCAAAAAAGATTTTAGCTAACCTTTTTTATATTGCTTTTTATTTTCAGAAGGCTAAATATTATAGAGATTGTCTATAGGAATGTCTGTTTCTTTGTTGTTACTATTAAAAACTTATTAATAATACTATTAAGTATTTGGTTGATTTTTAAAAACTGTCAATTTTATTTAATTAATTTGCTTCAATTTTAAGATGAAATTTTGAGACCCCTAAGTTATTTTGAATAAATTTATAATTAATGAGATTATTCATTGAAAAAATTATTAGTGGAAAGAGTTCTGGGATTATAATCTTAAGAAACAGATTTGATATTTAGTCTAACACTGTAACCCTTTCTGAACCTCATCATATATCATTTATGAGCATAATAATACTATCATACATGTTTACTCTAAGGCTATGTCAGATAGTGTATATCAGAGTTATAAAACATTACATTAATAAGTTGTACTTGAGCTTTGGTTGTTTCACTTTGATTTTATAAGATCTGTGTAAAATAATTTTAGTACTATTATTCAGTTTTATTAGCTAGTGACATAATATTTTAATTTTTTGCTTTTCTTCAGAAATGTCCCTAGAACAATGGGATGATTTTTTAGCATATAAGTATTATCTGTTTTGTTCTTTAATTCCCAAGAAAACCTCTGTTCTCTATTCTTAGATTGACTTAAAGACCTACCTAGGGAATTTACATTTAGTCTCTAAAGTAGTTCCCTTAGAATATAGATTTTTTTCTCTATTTATTTTATATTCTTGTCCAGATTCTCATTATTGCATAACAAGTTTATCCCAACAGCTTTCTTATTCATCTTTTTGACTTCATTTTTTTCCCTGGACTGAAATTGTCCTCTACTTTGTCCTGGGGGATTTTTCTTTTAGGTATGAGGTAAATTAGTAGGTTTCTAGTCATAGAACTTGGTTAAAACTAAGAACCCTATAGCTAGAGATATTCTTACTTTGTTTTATATTTTATACCTATACCTGGAAGAAAAAGTTATGAGTAATTCAAAGCAATAAGGAACTTAAAATCAAAACAAAATTCTCCTTTTGTTTTATCCCATGTCAAATAAACCGAAGAACTCTGAGTTGCTGTTTCATTCTACTTCGTTTCTCATAAATGGTTGTGTACTAGGTATTCTGCTGGACATAGAGGTAGAAAGAACAACAAAACAATCCTATGCTCAGAAAGACCAGTCTAGCAGTTAGGACAAACATGTAAGCAGTAATGAGAGTATGTAGAGCTTTATGATAGTGATTGGAGTTTTATAGCAAGACAAAGAAGATGATCTTGAGCCAGTCACTAAGGAATGCATTCTAGATATTTGAAGTAGAATGCATTCCAGACTAAGAGGAATCATGACAATAAAGGCAGCTGTGTGGTAATGGAAAACTCACTGTACTCTGAGTAAAAAAGACTTTGGTTTGAAATATGTCTTTGCTCCCTGATCCAATTTGAATCAGGGAGATTATACCAGATTCTTTGAGTCTTTGTTTCCTAATCTGTTTGATGTAAATAATACACACTTTCTTTACAAAGAATCACAAGGATTAAATGAAATAATACACATGAAAATACTTAGGGTCTCAATAAATTTGTTTGCACACATATCAAGTCTAAATATTTCAGTGTGCCTGGTCTTAACTGTTTTTTAAATTTTATTTTCATTTAAAATCTCTTTTTGTTTTCAATCCTGTCATTTTGTGTTTATTGAAGAGTAGCCTGCCTTCAAAAATCTTTAATGGTGTATTTGTGCAACCAAAGTCATATCTCAGAGCAGCTCTTTTCAACATTAATGTCATTTCTTTGATGAAGTCATGAGCATATACCCTCTTCCATATTATGTTAATCTTGCCTATGAATCTCAGCACTTTGTACATATTAGTATAGATACCAGTTACATTACTCTCATACATTGTTTTATCATTACTTAAATACAGCATTTTAAAATATCTCCCACTAGAATCTTTTGAGGGGAGGGGATTGAGTTTTAATCTGCTTGATTCTCAGTATCTACCATAGTCCCAAGTCATGCCCAAATAAACGTTTGTAAATGAATCAGAAAGTCAATATTTTAGTCCTTATTTGTTTACTCTGCTCATCTAGGCCTCAATTTTCTCATTGATGAAAGGGCATTTGATTCATCTAGATAATGTCTGGAGACCTGTCTAGCTCTAAAATCCACAATTTGGTCAGTCTATAATATCTTTTTAAAGTGTTTTCTTCTTTCTTGAATGCTTCCTGCCCCCTCATCATATGCCTCTTTATTATAATCTTCTCAAATTCTTTCTTCTCCCTGAGGCCGTATCAAGTTACTAAAATATTTGGTTTTTTAGTCCATGGAGTCAGTTGAACTTGATTTGTTATATACTACTTAAATTCTTTTTCATTCTTTTATATGCCATTTTATATGTTGGTTTTCTTAACCAGCTTATGAACTTTTAGAGCTTGTGTCTTGTATTCCTGTTCTATATATGATCCCTAGCTTATCACAGTATACTAGCCATTCACAAGATTTGACTAATAATTATTTGGTTTCATGTGTTTTGAAAATTAGTACTAATTGTAATTTTAATTCATAAAATTTTATTAATGTGAAACACGTTTCACAAAGTTCTCTGTACTTCCTAATGTGTTTGATTACTATAAATAGTTATATGACTATTATTAGAAAAAGTAGATCATTTTTTGCAGTCTTTCTCTGTTACTGTATGTGCAGCATTTTTAAAATATCGATAAATTATTTTGTGTACTTGTAATTTTCAAGGTAAGCCTGCTTGCATACATTAATTTCTCTCCTAAATTAGGAGCTTATAGTTCTTCATGTCTGTTAATAAGCAGCTTTAGTCTCCAGTTTTTGCATTTCTTTTGCAGATGCTCTGTTCATGGTACTGCAGGACCAGAAGGCAACCATATTTCAGATTTACCTCTTTTAGACAGTCCCAAGTAAGGTTAATTGATTACTTTTGGGTCTCTAAAGCTGAACTGCTGCTTAAAGAATGTTAATATGAGTGTTTCTTAGAGAATGTTAAGACATTGGGAATAATATGGTATTAATGGGATGTATTATTTTTTGAACACTCTGTGCTTCACAGTTTCTTCTTTAGTTATATTGTTTCTCCTCCACCCCCACTGTCTGTAATTTTCCAGAATTTCACATAACACTGATCCAAAATAATAATCATTTTTTTTTTCTGTTTCTTAATAGTCATCATTCTGTAATCTTTGCAAAAGCTTCCAGATCCCCTTATCTAGTAGTCACTGGAAAGCAAAAACAAAAAGTGGCATTGCTAAAGAGTATTTCAGAAGAAATTTTGTTGGGCAAAACTTGGGAAGATGAATGAAATTCATTATTATTGTTCTTACAGTCCCTGGCTATCTTCTTCATTGACTACTTCTTCCATGGTAGCCCCAGTCACTTTTGCATCTATTGTAGAAGAAGAGCTACAACAGGAAGCAGCTCTTATCAGAAGTCGAGAGAAACCCTTGGCTTTGATTCAGGTATATAACATCCGAGTTTAACTTGGGAAGAACTACACTGCATGTCATCCTTGAGTCTTAAGAAAATTATATTTGGGCTGGGGATATAAGTTGGTAGATTGCTTGTGTTGCATGCACAAGGCCCTGGGTTCAATCCCCAGCACCACAAAAAAAAAAAAAAAGCCGGGCTTGGGATGTGGCTCAAGCGGTAACGCGCTCACCTGGCATGTGTGGGGCGCTGGGTTCAATCCTCAGCACCACATAAAATAAAATAAAGATGTGTCCACAGAAAACTGCAAAATAAATATTAAAAATTCTCTCTTTAAAAAAAATAAAATAAAATGTAAATGCCAGGTATAACTACACTGAGGCATTTAATAATTTAAATATTAATTGACGGTATTCAGGATAATTAATTTAGAACCAGTAAATTATGATAAAGCATACAGTTTTGGCTTTGGTAGTGTTTGAGACTGTTTGAGGATTTAAAAGTGACCAGTAATGCTCTGGGGATGTGGCTCAAGCGGTAGCATGCTCTCCTGGCATGCGCACAGCGCTGGGTTCGATCCTCAGCACCAAATAAAAAATTAAGAAAAGATGTTGTGTCCACCGAAAACTAAAAAATAAATATTAAAAAATTCTCTCTCTCTCTAAAAAAAAAAGTGACCAATAAGAGAATTTCACAGTATCTATTGATATTCTCAGAGCTTCTGTATCAGTAAGAGTTCTTAGATTGTAAGTAACAGATACCATCTCTGGCTAACTTAAGGAAAATAATTTATTTGATAAATAATTAAGATTCTATAGACTTATTGAAAGACCAGAGAGTTAGGCTTAGAAACAAACAAGACCCATATTTATATAGAAACAGACAAGACCCATATTTGCATTGAAGAGCTCAGAAGCAACATGTAAAGGACTTGTACAATACCAGAAGGTATCTTACAGGATAAAACAGAATGAGTATATTACAACAATTATTTTCAGTTTCTTTTTCCTTCTGCTTAAGAGTTAAATTTCAAGTTGAGTGAGTATCTGATTACTTTAAAAGTGATAACAAGATACCTGATTTAATTCTCCTGTATTTCATTCATGTAAAATGATAGTGCCTTAAATGGAAATTGGAAAACTAATGTATCCGGCTTAATTTATGCATAAAAGAGTAAAACAAGTCATTTTTCCTTCTCTCTTCTTTCAGATTGAGGAGCGTGCAATACAAGATTTACTAGTTTTCTATGAGGCATTTGGCAACCCTGATGAGTTTGTCATTGTTGAAAGGACACCGCAGGGACCACTGGCAGTACCTATGTGGAATAAGCATGGATGCTAATTCACTGTGGAGTTGAGATGCATTTTTCATAATTGTGATTGCTATTAACAACATAAAGATATGCCATGGAAAAGAGGTCTTAAAGATTTGGTAGCCGATCATTCTAGACAGAATAAGCAATGATCTAATTTCTTCACTGATAACAGTTTATAATGTTTGTATGATTTAAAAGAAATTCACCATAATTGTGATCCTAGAAAATCTTGTGAGAATATTTCAGAGTAAAAACCTACTAAGTAAAGGTTAAATAGGATTGTTTCTTCTGAATTATCTTATAAATGAAATTGTGAGTGAAGTGTAAAATTTAAGAGTGATTCATTAAAATAAATTTTTCATTTGAGATAAATAATTTTTTGCCACATATCTGTTGTTACTTCGCTTTTATAATATGACATTGATGAGTTTAAAATAGGAGCATCAGTTGTTACTTCTGATCCATTAATGGCCAGAATTTTGTGTTTGCTATAAAAATTAAGTCTCTATTCTTGTTGCTTTTCCATCAGGCTGTCAATGTTTTATGTGTGTTTAAAGCATGACCTGCTTAAAAGACATATTTCTGTTTGGAGAGTACATTGTTTCTTTTGCTTTAAGTGATAGATTGCAGTGGAAAGAAAATAAGAACACTTAACTCTTCTGAACAATTTAGTCCAAGATAGTAGTTTCTTTGTAAAATTTGGAATCCTTGTAGATGGGGTTTTTTGTTTGTTTTGGGGTGTGCAGGGAGAAGACATTATGGAAGCCTAATTGAAAGTCATCAGTTTCTCAAAATGTTAAAATTTTCTGAACCAAATCCCTGTTCATACACAGAAGAATTGAAGAGAGTTGGCTTACAATTATCTTTTTACAATATTATATAATCAGAAGTTCTGTGAGTCCGGATTATATGTATGGATGTAAAAATTGTTTTCTTTATAGTATGCTATCTGATTTGCTTTTGAGTGTTTAATTTTTCTTAAAGTTAACTCTGTGTTCCATTATGTAGACAAATTGGGAAGGTTCCTGTTCTTGTTTCTGGAAAATAAACCTGGGGGAACATATAGGCAATTAACTGCTATAATTTAGTTGATGGAAAAATGGCAGAAGCTTACTCAGTATTTCAAGTTTAGCTCTACCTAGAAGCAGCAGACATGTAAGCAAATGTGCAATAAAAAAAGAAAAAATCTTTCTCCATTCACTACTCATGTGTGCTTGATACCTTGTACTATGTTAACATCAGCTATGGGAAGAATTACTAATTATTCTCTTGATATTCTATATTAATGTACAGTATATGTTAAGTTGATGTTGTATCCATTCTTAGACTGCTTTAAAAAGGACAGTTCCAATATGAACCTTTGAAAAGTTTTATGTTTGAGAAAAAATGAATTTTATAATGTTTTATTTATGTTGCAGTAAAAAAGCCTTCTGAAGTAATTAATTTTATTTCATTTGGAGTTTTGATATTCCGTGCATATTGGTATCTTTAATATTTAAAGATGCTATAAGATGATGATTTTCTTGATGTATTTTATGCTGCCTGGGAAGTACCCTCAAGGGTCTTTGTTGGATGGGATGTAAAGAGGAACAAAGGCTGACCAAGTCTGTGAGGCTTTAGTCCTTTACAAACTAATCAGAGCAGTTGCACTTTATGGTCTGTATTAAATAGTGAGCTATTATATAAAATTTCATTTGGAAAAGGAAGATTTTTGCTGGTAAAGTGAAAATCAAGCATAGTTTAAAACGATGTGTCTTCATAAATGATTCTGTGAAGATAACAGCCTATAACATTACCACATAAAGCCCAGAAAAGTGATGATTATTTTTCTAACAGTAATATTCTTCTTGCAGTAATTTGTCCATATTTGATTTCATAACCTCAAGAAATAAGAAAATTGAAAAAAATATCTAGCAATGGCAAATTTAAATGATCATTGGAATGAAGAAGTCTTTAAGATGGACCAAAATGATTATAGAACTTAAGCCTGAAAGGTGATGATGGGGTGTAATTTCAAGGTGAAGGGATATTAGAAACATAATATGCTTAAAATTTGCAAAATCAAGAAGACTACCAGTTAGGTAAAGTAAAAATTGATAAAATTCTGGGAGTCAGAGCTCTGTAAATTCTAAATAGATGACTTAAAATTTTAAGAAAATCCGGCTTCATATAGGAGCAAGTCAATTGAGAAAGGTATTACTGGTTATGGGTGGATTGGCTATAACTCTTTTAAAGGGCAGGTGATATGTATTTTTTTTCCTGGTAAAGGGTTTGACAGCTATTTTATAAAATGTTAAATCTGAAGAAGGCTTATTGGTTAACTGCAGGCATATTCTCTTACTTCAATAATTAAAGAAAGTAAACTCCTCCAATAAAGAAAGTAGAGAAAGGGACTACTTAGAATGAAGTCTTCTTTTTTAAGTATGGTTCCCCTATAACTATTGCCAGCTATCTCTTTAAAAGTGCCAGTTGTCTAAAGCAATTTAACCAAGACTAAAGAAAAAAATGTGGAAAAAATGTAACCCAGAAACTTCCAAGTTTGGCAGTGTAAGAGATGTTTTCAGAAAAACAAAACTACAACAACCTTCAACTGAGGAATTGGAGACAAATGATTCAGGATCTTCATGCTAATGCCTATCTTTTGCTTGAGATGATGCTTCAGTTATGTGGAAATATCAAAACATATTAATTGTTCCTGTACATACATATAAGCTATCAAGCTGTATCTCCGCTGTAAGTACAGGTATTTCATTTTCTTTCTTATTTGCCCTTTTCCCTGTTCCTTTACCTATCCCTGCCTTTATTGGCTGTCCAGTCTCTTAATTCTGACTTTTTCATATCTTTAATTTATTTCCATTTTTTTCTTAGTATTACTACTGTATTTTATGTCCTTATTTCTTTTTGGCAATTCTCAGTTTTTGGCTTAGGATCCCTTTACAATCTTAAAAATTATTGAGGAACCCAAAGAGCTTTTGTTCGTATAGATTATATCTATTAATGTTGAATGTATTCATAATTGAAATCGACTTTTACAATTTAATTCATTTAAAAATAAATCAACATGCTAACATGAATAGTATTTGTAACAAATAATTTTATGGAACAAAATCAGTAAGGAGAGGGGGATTTGTTTTACAAATAAAAATATATCTTTCAGATTTAGGTTGTTACTGTTTGGTTTGAAAGAAGACCTCTAGATTCTCATTTTCCTTTTGTATATTCAGTCTATTGCAATATATGTCGTAACCTCTGGAAATTTTAAGAGATTGAGATTGAAAAGGCAAGTGACGTTACGAATCAGTTTTTATCTTACCATCTCCTTAAAGATGGAGAAAGTGATTGAGAATCATTGTATTAATCCATTAGCTGCTATACCTTCCTTCATCTCTCTCCTAGGTCCAGTCTTTCTAGTTCTCAACCATACTATCAAAAACATATCTCTACATAGCTCTGAAAACTGAAGTTATTCTCTTTACATTTACAACATGATTTTTCTCTTTTCATGTATTCATGTAGTGGTGAAGCCAAACTTGAACTGATATTTCTCACAAATATGATTCAAGCTTTGCTCATGCAGACCTCTAAACTTTTCTTTCTTTTGTTATTGAAATTCTACCTGTCCATGATTAAGACAATCCAAATTTTATCTCCTTAATAAAGTTTTTCTTGTCTACTCCCAACATAATCCCTCACAATAAAGTAAAAACATACGTGGATTGACTATGTTCTCATTTCTTCATAACACTTTATACCTGTAACACTTCATACCTTGTCTCATTCTGCCATTATTTTTGCTTTTCTATTAATCTTTGCCTTTTACTAAATTATTTAACTTTAAGATCATAGGCATTCTTTTCTTTCTTGTATGTGTATATGTTTACATCTTTCAAAATCTTTAACGATGACACAGATAAGTGCAAAAGACAAATATTTATCTCAGTCATTTACCAGTAGGTCAAGAAATAGACCATTAGCAGCATCTCAGGAAGAGATACTGGGTTGATTTTCTAATAACTTCATTGAGGATTTTTACATCTATTATCATGAGAGATTTTGATCTGTGATTTTTCTTTAGCTATCTTTTTCTGACATTGGCATCCGTATAATACTGGCCTCATGGGATGAATTGGAAAGCATTTACTCCTCTAGAAGAATTTATTAATTATTGGTATTATTTATTACTTAAATATTTATAGAATTAACCTGTGAAGTCATCAGGATATGGAATTTTGTGGAAAATTTTTAATCATTAATTTAGTTTCTACTTCTTTACATATTATCTTCAGATTTTCTATATCTTTTGGAGTCATCTTTAGTAATTTATCTTTCTAGGAATTTGTCCAGTTCATATAAATTTTCTGGTTTGTTAGCATAAACTGTTTATAGTATTCCTATATACTCCTTTAGATTTCTGTAAGATTGATGATTATGGTGCCACTTTCATTCTTGATTTTAGCAATCTGTTTCTTTCATTATCATATCAATATTGATCTTTGAAAGAACTAACTTTGGATTCATTGGTTTTTCTCTGTTGAGTTTCCTTTCATTTTTTGCTCTGATCTTTATTGTTTGCTTTTTAATCCTGTTTGTTTTAGCTTTCTTCAAATTGCTCTTCTTTTTCTAGATATTTAAACTTAGATTACTGATTTGAGGTCTGTCTTCTTCCCAAATACAGGCATATTTTTTCTCTCTAAGCACTGCTTCTCTTGCATTGCATAAATTTTTATATTGTGTTTTAGTTTTCAGTCATTTCAAAAGGTTTTCTAATTTCATTTTGATTTCTTCTTTGAACTATGGAATATTGAAAAACATTTAATTTCCAAGTATTTGAGAATTTCCCTCAAATATCTTTGTTGTTGATTACTAACTCAATTTTCTTAAATTTGGAGAACATATTTTATATTATTTCAATTCTTTTAAATAAATTTGAGACGTGTTTTGTAGTCCAGTGCATAATCTGTCCTGGAGAATTTTCCATAGGTACATGAGAAAAACTTGAAAAGAATATTGACATCTACCTCTCATAAATACTTTATAGGACGTAGTTTCCTGTGTTGAGGACATAAATTTGTTACTTAAATATAAGAATAGATGTTGAAGAACCAAAAGGGTGAGCTGTTGCATATTATCCTATTTGCCCCTCAGATCTGTTCTCCCATTTTTTTCATACTGTTGTGGAGTTAAACCCTAGATCTTTATCAACTATTTCATTTCCCTCCTTGTTATTTGAGTCATTTTTGAGCAATAGCAGAATGTAGGCATATTGGCAGGACTAAAAAAAGAATGAAACTCTGTGTGTGTGTGTGTGTGTGTGTGTGTGTGTGTGTGTGTGTGTGTATGTGTATTTGCCTGCTTCATACCTCCACGATGTTGCT